TCTTGTTGTCTCATATATACAACAGACACCAGCGTCAATAAACTTTTGCTTATAGCAAAAGCGGCATATAAAGTAGTGGCGTCTAGGATTAAGCCGTGACGCGACGCGGTAGCCATAAAGGTATATCCAGCTTTTCTTCCCGCGCTGCGACGCCAAAGGCTTCATATACTGAGGAAAGTGGTCCTAGTCAAGACCTTCGAAGGCGTCTACTAGGTGTTCGTCGAAGCCTATACTAGCAAGCTCGTTAGAAGCTATCGTTGCCTCCTCGCTGCCGTCAGCGGGTGGGATGATAGCTTCTCGAGCCTGCGTTTCGCGCAGCCGCGCTTCGAAGCTCGATACCTGGGACGCTTCAACTAGAGCTTGACGAGGTGATAAGCGAGAGGATGATGGCGGGCTTTCGATAGATATAGGCTGGCTTAGAGTACCGCGGGGCACGCCCCGAGACCGCTTCGGTGGGGTAGCAACAATAGCTTGGACGCGTCTTTTTGGTGGCATGCTTGTAATCAAGAAATTGGTAAGATAAGAAGATATATATAATAAATTGACACGTATAGTATTAGAGATAGAGGTAATAGTTAACGTTACTATAGATTAGTAGCCTACGTAAAGGAGTTCATAGTTATTCTTCTTTTTTTACGCACGGGCGTATCAAGCTCATCAAGCTCTATCAAGCTCAGCTTGATGAGCTTGACGAGCTTGATACAGCTTGATACAGCTTGATGAGCTTGGCTTGACTCAGCTTGACCGTTGAGTCAATCCAGCTTGATTGATGAGCTTGACTCAGCTTGATTGTTGACATCTCTGCTGTATAGCCTTTCCTAGCGTCTTTCTCTCTCTATCTAGACCTCTTGTAAAGATTTCGTCGATCTTGTGCTCTCCCGGGTTAACTTTGCCAGCTATTGAAGTGATGGCACTGAAGAATGTGGCGAAGTGACACTCCCTGTGGTCGGACAGGTGTGCTATCGCTTGTAAAAGAGGCAGTACAGAGGCATCGAAGTCCTGCTCTGCAGTCTGTTTTCTCAAGCGCTTCATTGCTGATCCAAATAACTCTGATATAGACAAGTTGCACAGATCATCAAAGTCAAAAAAATCCTTTCGCTTCTGAACATTATTGCCTTCAAGGGCGTCAAGTAGAACATCGACTGCACGGTGCTGTTCTGAAGGATCCTGGATACGCTGTAGACCCGGCAGGTACGAAGATGCAGCACATATGGCGAAAGGGTGTCTATCCAGGGCTTCCACTAGGCGGGTCAGCTGCAAGGGAGATGCTGTTACGGTTGTAGATGCCAAAAGGGACGTGAGTAGTTGTTTTGCCTCGTCGATCTTCATATTGAACACGAGAAGGTCGACACAGCGAAATCCAGATTGTATGAGCTGTTTGATACCGAAGGATTTCGCGTCGACACGACGACGCGCGCGGTTCTAGGAAGGTCTCTTGCGATATCAGAGGCATCTTTGATGTCATCGAGTTCATCAAGGATAATGATGCAGTCGCTTTCCATTGTAGAAGTCCAGGCCAAAAAGAAATCGGCTTGTACAGTCAGCGTGTATGACCTCCACCTGTCCAGGGCTCGGGGGCCGATGGCTCCATGGTGTGGCATGGCATCATGTCCAAACATTAGGGCGTACTGTTCCAGTTTCTCCCGTAGTCCCTTATATGTCGACGCAGGTAGAATTACAACGTTACTTTCTGATGATCGCTGCTTCACATAGTCGAGCAGTAGTTCCGTCTTTCTGGAGCTTATTCAGTCCTGTAAGACAGTCTCATTATATTTGGGCAAACTTACCCAGACCCAGCGATACCTGTCAGTATCAGCATAAATTGTGATAAAGCAGAATCACTAATAGTTTTGGCAGCTTTCTCGAGGAGTTCTGACCGTTGTACAACGTTGCAACTTGCTTTACGGAAGCCATGGTCGAAAACAAATGGCTTGGGCAGTGGATAGGAAGGAGCTGTGACTTCGGGTCTACCAACCCTATATACCTGACGTATGTCAGACACTCATAAACGATGTTTGGTCTCGCATATCTTGTAACAAAAAAGTAGATTGACAGGAATTGTGAACTATACATTTGCTGCTGTTGAGGGAACTTGATTGGCCGCGCTTAAAAGGTCCGCTCGCATTTGGCACAACCCTGCCTTAACCATATCGAATGCCGGACTGATCCTCTTTTCAAACTTGCAGACAGAGTGGTGATCTGTCTCCGGTAATTGCGTAGCTGTGTTCGTAAGAAAACCAGCAGAAGTTGCTGTAACAACCTAAACACCATATCAGCATATGAAACCAGTGCCATGGTGTTCCTTACTTGTCTAGAGGTTCCTGTCCAACCAGGCGCTAATGCTGTCGACGAAGATTCGCAGTAGCATCGGACTAAGGGTTTATATTGAAGTGTCTCCCAGTCATTTACAGCGTCGATGTGGTGGGGGTTGAGAACTTTCAACTCATCGATAAGGCTCCGTCGGAGCCCTAAGACGTCTCCTAGCGCTAACGATAAGTCCGACCATTGTGCGTCCAACGCTCCAGCATTGGGTGTGCTCAAAAGCAATAAACCGCGAGGTCCAAGTGAGACATCTGGATGCAGCCGAGGATACTTCTCGTACCGCACCATGGCTAGTCGAGCGATAAGACCACCCATGGAATGGCACAAGAACATAATTGGCCGCGCGCGTTCTTGAGCAGTCGTCCTCTCATTCCCAAGGAGTACTAAGAGTTGATCGGCGTAGTCTTCAAACCGGGATCGCGTTCCTTTGCCATTGAACAACTGTGTATCATAGCCGTATGTCATGATCCGACTGTTTCTGAAATCCGGATGGTTGGGGAGATGGTCTCGTAACCACATTTGAGTTTCACTCATCCATGTGTCGAATGCATGTCCGTTTAGACCGTGAACAGCACAAATGCTATGAAGCTATCAGTACCATCATACATCTGCAAGGAGGATGGGGCACACACTCCAAGTCGACTTGTTGTCCGCTAGAGCCACTGTGTAATACGGTAATACCGCGGAAGTCATCGTCAATGTAAGCACCTTTTCGTGTCTTGTTACGCCTTTTCTGCGCATTCTCGAGGGCTCGCTCTTTTATTGCTGAGGACGTGAATGTGATTGTCGCCGTTTTACAGCCCTTCTGTTGTGCTAAACTAGAAGCTATTATATTATCGCTAGACTGGCGGGAAGAAGTCTTCAGCCAAGGTTTCCAGAATGAATGCTTGACCTCTAGGTCTGCTTGTGCCTGTGTTTGGATCTGTTCTGTCGTTACATCTTCTTCAACATCTGTGAGGCGCACCGTTTGCTTGCTCTTCTTCATGGTAATAAGCACACGACAGGCAGGCAGTAGAGTAGGAGAGTGATGGTTGATGAGATCGTAATTAGCTTCGGACGACTACCCCAGCTATTGTAGGATGCGGCGCGACTCGTGCGCCTGCGCGGGCGAAGTCGATTCGGCCAGGCCATTGATCCAGCACATTCGAGTGGGTCGATTGACATGCAGGCATCTTATCCGACGCTACTATCCCGTCAAATAGAGTTCAGCTGATGGATTGGTGTGGGTGAATGGCCAGCTGAAACTCACATTCTCGGCATATTTTTTTCAGCTCTCCAGCCTTGCAGCACGTGGCGCATTACAGGACGCGCAATCGTGTATGAATGGATGAAATCCTAGCCAGGTGCGCCATTGTAGCCTATATTAGGCGCTGGAAAGCATTGTTTGCCTACCGGTGCGTCTTTTGGGCTCATGCGCCGCTTTCTATCTTTCCCGGAAGTCATAGCCTTGCGTAGACTAGACGGTAGTTGCAGGAGATAGTTTAACGAAATGTGGTTAAAGCGATGTTTTGTTTCAGTTATGTCGGAGCCTACGTCTTGTTTTTCTTGTATTGTATTGTTCCTTTCATCCATAGCGCAAGCATGATACTGTCCAGCAGTGCACGGCGCATATCTACATGCAGCAGTGAACCACGCAGGTCTATATGCAGCATTCGCGGGATAAATGTTAGCGATCTCACATATCAGTTTCTTCTCCTTCTCGCTGCCAGCCCGAGCCAGTCGCTCCCTACCTTACTGTTCACGAGACCCTTTTCGGCTCCTCAAACTGTCAACCAGAGTACCACAAAGTTGACGAGATTTGATCGACTATTTCGAAAAGACAAATATGAAGGCGAGGTATATATTGAACCAGAGCAGAACAGGCCGCCGCTATCGATGCCTGGATACGACTGGCAATACGGCGCCCATCAACTCGGATCTGAGCTGGAAGCATTGAGACGTGAACAACACGTGGAAGTCACACACCAGGAAGAGATCACCTTTGTTGAGATGTCGCATGATACTCGACAAGAGATATGGCTGGTATTTGCAAAAGAACCCAAATTACACCGAAAGGTGCAGAGTCTACTTTGCACTTTCATCCTTCTTGCACTCCCAGTACCGTATGCTGAGCCACTTTGGGAGATGACGTCATTCGCCTGCAAGGACGTCATTACTTCCACTCTACTGCCTTTTCTGTTCACATCTCCTGGCTTGAGGGACTTTCAGCAAAACCTCATGACGGAGGAAATTTCCTGTTTACTCGTTTTCCATCTAACGAACCTCGGCTTTGCGCTTGACGATGCGCGATGGGATCTTTTATTCGACAATTCCCAATCATCAAACGTCAAATCATTTTTCAAGATTCACAAGGAAATAAGCTACCTGCTGGGTATACCGAGCTCTGACCCGCAGGCTCAAAACTGGAAAAGCCCAAGGGAATTCGACTTGCCTCAAACCTCACTCGGTGCCTCGCTTCTTGGATTCACCATTGCGCAAATACCATGGAAATGTTCGAGTCCCACTCTGTGGGCATATTTCGAAACCTGGCGTTCATGCTGGAGTAATTCATATACATCTCGAAAAACCGACCTTGAAAAGGTTGCGTACGCCGTCATTTATCCAGAGTCAATCAATGTATCTGAGCTAGCGTCAAGCCTGCCTAGCCACTCCATATATGCGTTGGCGATAGGCCTAAGCCACTCAGGTCATTTGGAAACGTCATCAAGTCTCCTCAAATTGGGTCTGCTCGGCCCGGCTCGCGACAATCTGACCTCACATGTCTATGAGCTGCTTTTCGCTGAACTTTTGAAATATCTCACACTACTGGGCAAGGCAAAGGATGCATCCGACCTGGGCATTGAATATCTAAAGGTAACTACTACTCACAATGCATATGTTCCTATTGCTACCACAGACGCCTTCATCGCACTCGGCAATTATAAAACGGCACAAGAGCGTCTCCAATACATCCTATCAGATACATCTCTTAGCTCATTTGAAGAAATCTGCCTAGTGTTGTGTCTGAACAAAATCTGGAGGCGAAGACCTGATCTGATTGAACCCTGCGGTTTTGCAGATAACCTTGCCCGGATCGTCAATTCGATTAGGCGAGAAGACAACCAGATCCAGGAAGACTACATGACCGAGTTGCAAGCCACAGTGTATCATGTCAGAGGACATGAAGAGCCTATACCGCCAAGGTTACACACAGTAATCGAGCATACATTGAAACTATATCGAGAAGACGATGGTACACTTCAAAAACAGCGAGCAACTCTGGACGCGCTAATAAAAACCGACAATACTGCTTCTGAATTCACAATTATAGGCGGTCGTATTATGACCAAGGATACACCAAAACTTTTGCCAGAAAAAGATGATGCCCTTCCAAGGCAGCGATCCACGACAGGCGCATTACCCGAAACCAGGAACACTGTTTCCCCATCTCATGATAGCCACGATTTGAGGAATAGTAACAAGCCTGGTGGTTCGGATCATGCTTTAGGCTTCAATTCGCCTGCTCAGTCCATTATCGCCGGATTGTCAACAGCTGGGACTGAGATCCCTATGGAATCCGTTGAAAAGGCTTGGGAATAGCGCAACCTACTATCTTTGGGTAAGTCCCTTAGTCATCAGATTGTTCGATAAAGCTACATTGAAACTGACGGAAAGTGAAGATGCTGGTAGTACTGGCGGTTACTGGACGCTTTTGGTCCTGCAAAAACTAATGGAATTGATCCGACGCGAAGAAACACACCACATGGTACGAAGGAAACCACCCAGGGGTGTCACCCCAGCATCTCGGTCCCAGCGTGATACGATCATCAACTCCAGAATAACCAGCGACTCTGTGCCATGCCATTACTTTGATCTGATTTGTGGCACAAGTACAGGCGGGTAAGTTTACCAGAGCAAAACTACACGCAGAAAATTAACCAACATATTTTAGCCTGATAGCTTTGATGCTAGGCAGATATCTTATGAGCATCGAAGACTGCATTTTACATTACATAGGAATTGTAAATCGTACCTTCGGCCAACCGAGGCCGACTGCAATGCTACGTGTAGGTGTTTCATCACAGTCCAAGTATAGGACCCAGGATATGAGCGATGCGATTGACAATTTTCTCGCCGAAATCGACGACGATGAAAGCTTGAAGACTGCTCCTGGGAGATGTGCTGTGTTAGTATATCGTTTTCTTGGTGCATTCAACAGCTAACTACGGTGCGTCTAGTTTGATTCCTGCTTTGTCGACTATGACCGAAAATAAATTTTCCCTCGAAACATTGCACCTCATTCGTACTTATGATAACCCCATATCCGGCTCATCAGAAAACATGCAAAGCTCAATTCCTTCCCATTTCGGGCCAGCTAGCAGTTTCAAGATGGGGGAGGTTGTTCACGCAATTACAATCGGACCAGTGGACGTGAGTAGGTCCATGACAAGCAGCGAAGGAGATAAGCCAAAAAGAGTTCTCTTATCAGAATTCCCCACCCGAATGTCATATGAACCATGTTTGATAGCTTTGCACGAGCTTGAAAAGCTTTATGGAGTAAAAAGGATCGGAACCGTTGTCAGTATTGGAGCTCTGAAGAAACCTGAGCGACGTTCTTTCCCCTACCATAGGCTCAAGTTGGATCCCCTACGTTATGAATTCCCAACGGCACCCAGAATTAGCGGTAAAGAGCTTGAGAGCTACTGGCGATTCGAGCACGCAGAAGGCGTTGATATAGAGCATAATGAGTGGAAGCCAAACGGCGTCAGGACGCGACAAAACAAGATCGGCAAAGCAACCATGTGGAAGATTGAAGCAGCATTCTACAGGTGGTCCGCTCATTATGAAAATATCTGTAACCTGGAGAAATGTGCGAAAGAGCTGGTTGCAATACGGAGACTCAGAATGCTCGATAAAGAGCGATGGAAACGTTACGCGAGTGAAAACAGCTTTGCCGACCCTTGGGGTGAAGAGAGCTGCGTTCAAGATCCGAGTGCTACTGTGGGGGGAGATGAAGAACAAGGCGAATCAACTGTATGATGAGGGACGATTTCATTTCTCTCAACCCATTCCCACTAGCGCGCAATTACAACCATTACATTCACATAAAGAGATTGAGTCCTATGAAGCATCCTTGCGCCTAATAGCACGAAAACACACCCTCATGTACCATGCAATCGTCAATTTCCTCTACGCCCCTCCAGCCATGATTCAATCATCTGCCAATCTTGAATCAAATACAAGCCGTATGCAAGTAAAATTCGTAACATCATATCTGTTTGTTAAAAGCTCATCAGTCATTCAAAATTCCTTTCCCAGGCGAAACAGCCCCATGTACTTCACAACCTTGCGCATATCACCGCTTCTTGCCCTTCATGTAGTATGCAAAGAAATTGCTTTTACGCTTCTTCCACACCACATCGCCCCTCAGGGCGACACTAGGCTGCATAACAGGACATGCCTTTCTCTCCCCCGCATCTCCCTTGTCGTCTCTTTCCCAAGGGGCATTATATCCCAAGACACTGGTTTCTCATTTAGCTAACGGAACTCTCTGGTGTGGCATCTTCGAGCTAGACTTTGCACCCTGGTGATTCCTCAGCTTCTCCCGGCGTAGCCCTGATCGCTCCATGTCCACCTCCATAATCTCACGCAACACACGCATCAGATTCTCACCTCTCCCCGTTCTGGCTCGGTACTGCTTCGCAAAAGCATACTCTTCGTGGTTAAATAGGTCCAGTGAATCCCTTGGTGCAGCCGCTAGCACGCCCTTTTGTCGCAGTACGCATAGAGCTCGGTTTTCCGTCCGCTCGTCTTGCATTGCTTCCGCTGTGATGGCTAGCTCGATGATATCGAGCCACGATGCTTCAATTGCCAGTGCATCGACTTGTAGATTTAGTATTCTGATGTACGCTGCTACCATTTCTGTCTCGAGCTCTGCAATGTGCAGGTAACGATGTGCGGGGTCGAGAGCAGCGAGATAAGTAAGTAGGTTGGAGGACTTGGGAATATCGGTGAGTAGAATGTGATAAGGTTGATCTAGTTGCGGACCCAGAAAGAGAGTGATGCGGTCGGTGTAGAAGCCAGTGGTTTCTTCTGGCGTTATGATTTCCCAGTCGTTGTCGGAGTTGGCGGAGGTGACGTGTTTGTCTATGTGGGTATGTGTAGAAGTGGATGCAGACGTGCATGCGGCGTCCTTGGACCCAGCGAAAATGTTGGCAAGAAAATACATGGTAACGAATCAAAAAACAAGAGACTGAAGAAGTTGGATAGAAGAGTGGAAGTGGAAATAAAGGAAAAAGGAGAAGTAGGTGGGGAGTGGTGAAATGACGATGGGTATAGAGCGCACGAGCAGCCTATAGGATAGGTTGCGCCACGTTGCGAGGGGAATGACAGTGCGCGAGCCGGGGTCTGCATGTTGAACAACCAAATCAATGCAATTTATCCGACCTAAGGCATTTGGCCTATGACAGATGAGCGTACAGTCAGTGTCCCTTCTAAGGCTGCAACTGGTCCATATTTGTGCATTGTAAGCAGCTGAACCACTGCCATTAGAATGACCTGATGTTAACATCTGGTTCTGTATAGAATGGGCAAGTCTCTACACACAAGAAGTATTGTTCGGCTTGCTTCTTATGACATGGTAGATACGAAGCTTGCTAGAGACTTTCGAATTCGATTTTACATGTACAACGATATGCCAGTCCCTACTTCGTCTCGTGCTCGGGGGTAATCGCAAAGGTAGGTCGAACGAATCTGTAACCCTGAGTTAGTCAATGCTCGTATAATCGTCGCAACCCCAAGGAGTGAATATACCTGTCACTATGGTAGATCTTGGTCTCTGTGCCCAACAATTCCTTCTCCCTAGCCTTGTCTGCCAGGTATCTCCGCACTTGGTCACGGTCTTCCTCTGCTTGTAGTGCCGGAATGAGGTATATCCGCGCCCACATCTTCTCGCGTGCGAGTTCGCTGTAAGAAGTCAGAATTCTCTCCCGAGCCCTGCGATTGATTTGCCGGCGTCTCTTGCGTACTTGTGCTCCCTGATACCCTGTCCAACCCTCCAGAATCCATATGTCATGAGTCCCGCGGTTCCGAAGATGTATACGGCGGGGCGGAAGCCTCGAACGGGCAGGTTGCGCTTGTACTGGACGGGCCTGTAGCCGCCCTGTGGCGGCATATCCTGCGGCATGATGGGCGATTGTGTTCGTGGTTCAATTGGGGCTCGAAGGGTATCGTTAATGCGGAGACGTGAAGTGAGGTTCGAGCTCGGGACGCTGCCATGACCGGGGTATGGCTTGGCGCGCTAAGGTGGGCGAGCATAATTTTGTCGACGCTGAGTGGGTGAAGGTCCTTACCACACATTTTCGACAATCAGCAAAAGTTACAGAAATGATGGATTCAGAAGAGCGACCTGCCAAGATGCGCAAGTTGGAGCCTGCAGATGACAATGAGGCCGTGATGGATGCGCCCGCAGTCGCGACACCTGCTGAACAAATTCCCACAAGCACAGAGAATGAGGAGGCAACTGGTGATGCTGAGGCTTCAAGTGGAGCAGCCACTGAGAATGGAAGCGGGGAGCCAAAGCTGTCGAAGAACCAACTCAAAAAGCAAAGGCGGCACGAACGCTGGGAAGCGGGGCGTGAGGATCGAAAACTAAAGCGAAAAGAGAAGCTCAAAGAAAAGAAAGAGCGGCGGCGCGAGCAGTTGGCCCAGATGCCAGTGGATGAAAACGGAAACAAAATAAGACTGCTGCCTCCACGTCCACCTAGGCATTCAGCAGGGACAGGAACTCAAGTACCCATCACGGTAATCTTTGACTGTGACTTCGAGGAGCTTATGTTCGACAACGAGCTCAAAAGCTTGGGCCTGCAGATCACAAGATGTTACAGCGACAACCGGAAAGCAAAGTTCAGGGCACATCTAGCGTTGAGCAGCTTTGGCGGCAAGATGAAAGAACGCTTCGATGGCATTCTAGCGAAGCAATATACCAGCTGGACAGGATTCCGGTTCTTTGAGGAAGATTTTGTGGAAGTGGCCGAGAAATCGAAGGAGTGGATGACCGGACCAAATGGAGGAGAGGTGGCTGGTGCATTGCAGTCTTCTTTGGAAGCCAATGAAGCAAGCGGACAACAGAATGCAGCAGACGGGGAGGCAGGAGAGATTGTCTACCTTTCATCCGAGTCGGACGAGGTCCTTACGCACTTGAAACCGAACAGCACTTACATCATTGGGGGTCTGGTCGACAAGAACCGGCACAAAGGAATCTGCCATAAGCGAGCGGTCAGCCGAGGCATCAAGACGGCAAAACTACCCATTGGTGAATATCTCGAGATGAAGAGCCGACAAGTTTTGGTGACGAATCACGTACTGGAGATTATGCTCAAGTGGATGGAGTTTGGCGATTGGGGAAAGGCTTTCATGGCTGTGATGCCCGAGCGAAAGGGCGCCAAGCTGAAAGGCGAGGCTGATGACGGGGAGAACGACGGAGAAGCCGCAGACGAGCAGGAAGAACATGGAGATGATGAGCTTGCGGATGCAGCGGAAGATGGAGCCGCAGCGAACAAGGAGACTGCCGCAGAAACGGTCAAATCTACATGAAAAAATGCTTCCGGATAGGGTTATCCGCCATGGCATGGCAAATGGACCAAAATGGATGACTACACTGTTGGCTGCATGCCGCAAAGTAATGTAAATAGGGGGCAACGCCGCACGCCGCCTGCGGTAAGCTTCAAGATGGAATCAACGGCAATACTTTCGAGCAGAGGCACAGTACCTGCCATGCCGCGCTTGCCCCAATTCAACAAGCAACTTTATGCAAAGTTCGCCCCGACTCACGATGAGCGCCCATCGTCAGCCTTACCGGGTAGCTGGAAAATAAGCTTTCTACATACGGGCTAGCGCGCTGGTCACAGCTACACATCAAGACGGCAGAGGGGTGAGCAACTATGGAGCACGCATCACCGTTTCGTAGCGTTGATATCACGGGCGTCCCGAGCAGTGCAGTCTCCAAGATGCAGCCGCCGCTTCCCCCTCGGCTTCCAAGAAGATGCTTATGTAACGCGCACCCCCCCTTGCGGCATGAGGCTGAGGCTCCAAACAGCTGTCAGCCACTAATCTCGCGCAACGTCACAGCTACTTTGCCCGGTGCCAGACCCAGCGCAACTCTCTCAACACCTGACCCACATTAATTCAGGCACGCTGCTACCATTGCTGCTAGTCGCCAGTCATGTCGCATCCAGGAGAAACCCCATCGTCTCCACCCTTCCGCTCCCCACCCTCTCAGCCATCATCGCCACCCAGTCGCGCCACACCCAATCGCTCCTCCTCGTACTTCACATATCCAGTCTCCTATGCCGTCTCGGGCATACTGCGACGACTGAACACGGAAACGAGCCCAAAATCAGACGCGCAATCCAAATCCGGCGGCAACAGCAACCGCAACAGCATAGGCAATCTGCAAGCACAGCTGCAATCTACCGCTTCTTCGCTCTCCCAGTCCCTGGCCAGCCTCGTCTCCCCCAATTCCTCGGATATGAACTCAGTCTTCCAACCAACACACCGCATCGCAAGCCCATTTCAACCACCGCCATTGACCCCGCTGAGCCTCAAGGGATGGAGGAGTGGAATGCGCGAGAAGGGCAAGCTCCTCAGCAAAGCCCTGGCTGAAGAAATCAGGCTCCTACTGCCGCCAAGACTGCAGCTGGTGGACGAGTGGTGTCTGGCATACAGCCTGGAGCAGAACGGCGTTAGCCTGGGAACTCTGTACAAGCAAGCCGATGATTATCGGGGGAGAAGAGGCGGCTTCGTGCTCGTGGTCAAAGATAACGGTGGGGGTGTATGTTCTCCAACATCACGCCATCTCCAACAAGTACTGACATCTTGCGATAGATTTTCGGCGCATATCTCTCCGACCCACCCCATCCCTCTACATCATTCTACGGCAACGGCGAATGCTTTCTTTGGCGTGCGCATGTCCTTAGTGGACTCCCCGATCTGCAAATGAGTCTCCCGCCCCCGCCATCCGAAGACACCACAAATGCCGTTCGCATGACAACCGTAGTGTCACCCAAGACGAATAGTGAGAAGTTGGCTCTGCCACCCAACGGCCAGGCAAATAAAAGTGGCACAAGCACGCCCGAGAGGATAAGGTTCAAGGCGTTTCCGTACAGTGGAGTAAACGACTACATGATTTTCTGCGAGCATAGTTATCTCAGTGTTGGGGGAGGGTAAGTCTTAACCTTACACATCGAGGCGGATAAGGCTAACAGTGTCGCAGAGATGGCCACTACGGCCTATGGCTAGATGACAACCTCGAGCATGGTGTGTCGGATACGTGCCCAACATTTGGCAACGAACCACTAAGCGACGATGGCAAGAAGTTTGAGGTCATGGGCGTCGAGCTCTGGTACATTGGTGTTTGAGCGTTCCTTTGACTTGTTCTTACTCAGCATGATACCTGATACGATGTTCGATACCGGCGGTATCTTGATCTGGCACTTGAAGACCTAAAGGATCTTCCAGCTGAAGGAAGTGCGGCCGCTTTGAAAGCATACCGCCCCCAGCTCGCCGATCAAGCAAAGTAGAACCGCAAGATACCCTGATGAAATTCCATCTGACTTGACATGATTTTAAATTTAGTGGCATGCGATAAATGAATTGCACATGCGTTGAGATGTTGCCTCGAAGCTGTCTTTGAGGCAAATTCGAATAGATCCACTTGTTTCAAAGTGCCTGTACGGCACAAATCCTTTGTCTGCTAAATCAGTATGGCCAACGCGTCGTGTCTTTGTGATGTTTCTATCCCTTTCGTAAGACATCTGATTTGCAAAGTATAAGCTTACCCAGCTTCTTCATACTTTTTCCTCATACATTGCGCTCTTGATACTTTGTCTACGCGCTTATTGTCCTGGACGCGGTCTTGGTGCCTTAACGATGATTAACCAACGATCTCACGCTTTCCCCGTATTCCCAGCTATGCTTTTCGTAGGCGTAGTTTCGTCTTTGCTATTGCACTGGCAAATATCTAAATACAGGACATCTCTATCCACAGCATCTTCGCCTCCATCTCTGATGTCCACAACATTCCCATCTTCATCACCGATGTCCACAGCATCCTCATCTTTATCCCCAATGGAGCAGACACCTACCAACCCTCCTCAAAGCGCAACTCAACAGTCGGAATCAGTCAGGTATATCGCCTATCAGCCTGCCGCTCATAGAACATATGCTCAATCCCAGCAGTACCGGTAACAAGGTCCTTTGTTTCAAAATCCCCAATGTAAACCGCCGATTCACAGTCCACCAAGGTACCCAGCCCGTATTCAAACCCGGGCATTCTCCAGCTCCATTCTGACCTTGATTTGCGCTTTCAGATCTTATATGCCAGACATCAAACTACTTCAAGCGCCGACTTCAAAGACACCGCAGGCCCATCTTTCCAGCCGATGAATGCTGCATCTGCACCGAGCCCTTCAATCCTACGCTGCAAGACCTCACGTTCTGCACCCACTGCGGCCAAAACATGCACGAACACTGCATAGACGCCTGGGAAAGAGTGCCCCGGAACGTGGTTTCCGGGTCAAAATGCCCAATGTGCCGTGCTCGCTGGAAAAGCCCTCGGCACCTTTCTTGCGTGAATATCGAGACTGAGCTGGACGTTGAAGCCGTGCAGAGTTATCTGGATTGCATGTATACAGGTACACTGAAAGAGGTATCGGCGTCTATCCCACGCAACTCGGATCAGTTCAGCCTCGTTATGCTGAAACGCTGGGCCGTTGCAAGTGCTCTTGAAGATGCTGCATTTAAAGCCCAAGTTCTAACCGCGCTTTTCGCCAATGGCAGAGTGGTTATTGGTATTGAGAGCGTGAAGTGGGCGTTTGTAGAGAGGAAATGCAGTGATGAGATTCGCGAGTTCATGGTTGATGTTAGTCTGACGGGTATTGAGTCGGGCTGGTTTAAGGAGATGGGAAAGCGTTTCCCGGAGGCTTTTGTGAGCCAATCGGCGGATGGGGCGGTGCGGAAGTGGAGGAATGGGAATAATAGGAGGGGGCTTGGAGATGTTAGGAGGGACTGGATGAGGAGAGTTGGTGCGGGGGGTGGTGAGGGAAGTGGCGGTGGTGAAGGTGGCTCAAGTGCTTAACTCAGCGATATACGAGTGAAACGTTTTGTTTGTGAAGTCTGTAGAGAAACAAAACTTGTAAAAGTTTACAGGCCTAATTAGCCACTGTGTATTTTTTTTCAAAGGTGAGAGCGCGTATTAATTGGTATGGAGTCAGATCAAGGTGAAGTTGAAGAATCTCAGCACAGAGATTCACATGAGTTTTCTTTCACCTTGGACTAGGCTTCCGCAATCACTTGCACTCATTTCAGCTCTCTCACTTGTGAAAGTGGGAGCTCTCAGGCTAGCGCTAGCTACATGTATAACTGCCGCTTGTTGTCTTCTCTTCTTTCCTCCACACCTCTCCTCAACCAATCATACGAATCGAGTGCAAAGCTTTCTGCAATCATGGCTTTGCAAAAACGTGTCCGTTTCGAGAGGACCAAACCGATCAAGTAAGTTCATCATCTCCCTACGCGGTTGACGAAGATTGGGTGGATGTCATGCTTATCGCTGTCTTGTTTGCGAATGATATGAAGGAAACAAAATCATTGACACTGATCCAGGTACGGCCGCAAGATTGTACGCCTGTCCATAGGACCACGTTCAGACACGTTCGTTGTGCATGAGGATCTTCTTTGCTTCAACTCTCCGTTGTTTCGCCAAGAACTTCAGCGTCTGAGACAAGTTGTCGAGGGTGACTGTCCGATTTGCCATGAACGCATGGATCCTGGTATCAGAGAACTTACGTTCTGCCAGTCTTGTGGAGGCAATTTCCATTTTGACTGTATCTCCCAATGGGAAGAACAAGGAACCAACAAACAACACTCAGAATGCCCACTGTGCCGACAATATTTGGAAATTGATGAAACTGAGCAATCCGAAACGTTTACCTATCTGAACCCACGAGCCTTTGAGATATACTCTGAGTGGATTTACAAAGGCTACATTGGATATACAGATCAGGAGGTGGCCAACGATATGTTCCACGATCTTATACTTGCCTATATCTTTGCATCCATAGTCCAAGACTTCAAGTTCCGCAATGCAACCATCAAGGCACTTGTTGAGATTTCAGTCAGCAGGGATATGCTTCCGCATAAAGAAGATATCATTGATGTCTACAAGGAGACACCGGTCCGTTCACGCCTTAGAAGACTCATGGTGGAACTATACATCAGCATCAGAACAGAAGATTTCGATGAATCGGCATACTGGGAAGGACTGCCACCGCAGTTCACGAGGGACCTGGCGATGGCTCTTCGGGAGAAATTCGATTACTCTGAAGAGGATTGGGACATCAAGAAAATCATAGCCAAATTGGGTATGAAGAGCACTTGATTTTGTCAAGGATTTGCGAAGGAAAGCAATGAATGGCTCTGGTTTATTCATTACATGTATCTTGCCTTCGTCTTCACTCTTGTAAAATAACTTCATCGGCCAAATACCTTTTCGCATGCCTTCTCCATGCTGTATCACTGATGGGATGTCGTAACTCGAAAAAAAGATTGAGAAATGCTCCGACACTTGCTCAACAATACACTATTCTAAACTATCTCACCGCAAGTTATTGAAGTGCGATAATTCGTTTTCTCTTGATGCGATAGCTATCGTTCATATAGTGGGCCTGTAAGACGTCACGTGCGCATTACCACACCAAAAGGCTTTTGCACCTTTGATATATCCATCAATTCATAACATTTAGCGTGCGAATAACATTTCCCTGCAAAAGCCCCGCACCTCCCGAATTGCCTATCAGTAGATAGCCGTGTTAAAAACGACCAAAACAAATTTGAGCTTATATCTCAAACCCACTTCACTTCTCCACACATCGATCATCACACTCTATTCTTGAGCTTCAGCCTCCACATCATACTCACCTCCAGTATGCTTTTTCAACAAATCCTTGAGTTTCATGTCCTTCCAATCGGTCCGCAGCATCAGGGCGAGACACAGCTCTCTCGCGAACTCATTAGGGAGGTCCTTGAAGAGGTGGGAGATGAAACCCAGCGTGTTATGCATCAGCCATACATCGAGGACAAATTCGCGCATGGAGGCTATACACTGCTCTTCATACGCATATCGTACGCTGTTGCGACCAAAGAGCGCGACGTCTTTATCCATCCAAGCAACGAACTCGGCGACAATGCAGTTTTTGAAACCCTCGTCTTTGAACACGTCAGCGACTGTCCAGGCTTTGAGCAGCCGGAGCTCGTATTGCGTCGTGTATCGTGTGGAGTCCTCGCCAAAGTCCAGCTTCTTTGTATACAGCCACTCCACGTACGACTCCACAGCATCGTGATCCAGGTGCGCATCTTCAGGTACATCGACAAGTTCCTTCGGTTTGAATTGCCAGACCCGGCGGCAGATGGGGCACGTAGCTCCATTCTCGGCCGTTACGTCCCACCGCTCAATGCATTTCTCGTGGTAATTCTGGCCGCAGGGCGACCTGCAGAACGTCACGTCGTCGGCTTTGGGATCGAGATCGTCGCGACATATCAGGCATTCTCCCTCGATTTCCCGGCGCCGCGTCTGGAATGTCTGCTTGAAGTACTGCGCGTTGCGGCAGAGTAGGTCTTCGTGCACGCTGAAGTGCCGGGAACTGTTTGGCAGACGGAATTTTATCGAGTTTCGACCTAGGCTTTATATGTATTAGCAGGGATTGTATACAGTTTTTGGAATGCTTACCAGAGTGGACCCAGCTTCTTCGTTGCACCTCTTTTCTTGATGACAACCATGTTGATGGTAGAGCTAGTTGCAAGTACGTTGAGTGTTGCAGTGAAGATTGCAAAGCGGACATGCTCTGGTAGATAACCAGCCTGGAATTGGGTGACTGCTAGCATGCATTTCAACACTTGAGAATGGGAGAATAACATCGATTCTTCTCTGATATTTTGGGCGTATCAGAAGGTCCATAATATGATTACTACACACGTCTATTCTTCTATCGATGCTATGATAGATCTCCTTACATGAAAGGAAATTAATAGAGCAATTCTTATTGGCATACTACATGGTTGGAATCTTCGAGTACCATGGTTCCAGACGATAGGCCAATCCTAAGAGGTCTAAAAGTCGCGCTTGGAATGCCCTTGGCATCTCAACAAGGGAAAGAAAAAAAATAGTCATATCCGCGCACGAGTTGAATAAGTTTTTTTTTGGAAAAAGGAGAGTACGAGTTTTCGAGGATTTCTTTTCTACAGTTTTTATTCATCCGATTACAATGCGTATAGCATGTAGGGAAAAGGATTCCTATAGCTCAAGCAAGATGCATCAGGGAATGATGCTTTGATAGGATACTCTTGCTATTTCTTTCTACATTATAGTCTACTACATTGTATGTCCTACAGCTTCAGCGTCCAACTCATTCATAGAACTCCAATAAGCATATCGAGACAGCAAATCACCACACAAACTCTACATCTATATCTATTTGTCTGTAAAAGTAGAGTCTATACGTAAGGTGTAAACCAGCACCTAGAACCGCAATACGTTTCCAGCCGCATCATCTCTTTTCTCAACCTCTCTCAGCATATGTATACCCCCTCTCCACATTCATTACTCGTCACGCAGCCACAGCCGCCGCAGCCGGTGCCAAAACCCTCGTCGCCTGCTCACCAGCCCTCACGATACCAAGGCTTCTCGTATCTTTCGTCGCTCTTTCCGCCCCGGATTTCCACACTTCGACTTCTTGGCCTCCGCGCAGAATACCGACTCTCATTGTCGAAAGTAGATTGTGTGCAGCGTTGGAATGTTGGTATACACCGCCATTGAACACAGCTGTTGCGTCTTTCCCAATCGCAGACTTGATGAGTGTTTTGCCGCCGGGGTGGTCGGCAACAAAAGGCGAGACGTCGTGGATGACTCCAGCAATAGCTACCAAAGCGGCGCCGTCGGCTGAAGCCTGGGTTTGGAATTTGTCCCAGGAGAGGACGGGGAGTTGGGAGAGTGGAGTGCCCCAGTCGAGGAGTGCACGTTTCTTGTCAACGGCCTTTTGTTGCTGTTGGAGACGGCCTTTTTCGATTTCGTTGGCGCGGAAGGTCTTCAGGTCGGTGGCTAGTGGAAAAAAGGGAATCTTCGACATGCCCCAGATAAGCCATTTTGTGGGGTCATATTGGTACCAGATGATAGCGTTGCCTATCTGCCGTTAGCTTTTGCATTCTACCATATCCCGTCTGTGATGCTTACGGTAGTCACTAGGAAATTCGTGATGGAAGTTGTGATACCCCTCTCCCATTGTAACAAGAGCTGTAAGTACATGGTCTCTCGGACTCCTTCGGTCGTCAAACGGTTGTTCGCCAATCCAGTGTGCCAATGAATTAACACAAAAGGTTGCTTGCTGAACGAAACACGCGCGTATTATGCCAGCATAAACAAAGCCTCCCCACCAGTCACCCCAGCCTAAACCAGCCACTAGGGCAGGGAACACCCAAGCGGTGAAAAGAAGTATTTTTCCGTAGTGCTTGTGCTGGAAAACGACAATGGCATCACTGTCTAGATCAGAGATATCTGTGCGGCCCTTTACTTTTGGATCCGTGTTCATGATCATCCAGCCAATGTGCGAGAAGACTAGGCCCCGCATGACTGAATACGGGTCTTTCATCGTATCGGTCCATCGATGGTGAGCACGATGATTGGCGCTCCACCAGCGAATGCTTCCTTGGATAGCTCCAGCTCCTACAAATGCCAGAAAGAGGCGTAGCGGCAGACGTGCAGAGTAACAACGGTGACTCCACAGTCTATGGTAACCGCCCGTGATACCAAAGGCGGTCATGGAGTAGTAGATGATGCTCCATAGCAGCGTTGGACGAGTGAGGGGTGTCGAGCGCGCTAGATAGAGGCCGTAGGCTGGAATCAGGATAACAAGGGTGGTGTTCAGCCAGTTTATCTTCTTGTGCCAGTTCTTGATGGTTGTGGGTTGGGCGGATATGTGTGACTGTTTCGCTGTTCGAGGCTCAGCCACAACTGGCGGGTCTAAGGCGGTCATCATGCGCAGGAGGTTCGAATGAGCTAAAGAACGCGTGAGGACCGACTGCCCGTCGTACATGTACCACGGCTACATATAGTACATATCGAGGCAGGCATCAGCCGGAACAAGCCGAATGCACTTAGGTACAGCGTTAGCAAAAACGCTGGGAAAGTCGCATGGGTGGCCTGTACAGTACGTGTAAACTAGACAATCGGGATAATTCACGATGCATGACAGCAACAGAATCACACCGTGGGCGCCACGGAATCCTCGGACGTCGTGGGTTGATCTTGCGACGAGGTTGTAATTGGTTAGCATAGCGGTACAATGAGTCTGATGAAGTTTACATTGCCGTGAGTGGTTAGAAGCATGCAGGAACGAGGCGCTTTGTCGGCTCAATCAAGACTATCCTCTTTGCGGTACCTACGGCACGCGAAATCGGAGCAAAGCGCACACTTGCTGGGGACCTCATGCCGCATATTTATGCCGCATTTGCTACCTGCTCTCATGGAAATCGAGTCCATTTTTCATTTATGGTGAGGGCTTGCGGCGTGGTTTCAGTCCTTTGGTCAATCTAGCAAAAGATATTGGGAGGCTGATAAGATTATCGGCTTTGGGTGGGGGATCGCGTGTACGCCGCGCGGGGCATACTACGAGTTCGATGGGACCAGCGCACGTAGGCTACCAAATTTCATGTATGTCCAATGTGGAAATCTGTGAGTCGGTAGTGTGACCAAGGTGGAAACAATCCGACCGCTCTTTCGACATCTTGGCATTGACAGCGCAAAGGTATCATTCCGTCCTACTTCTTTGCAGCAACCTCCTCCCATTGTACGCCAACCGACTCTTCTACATAACCCACTTCGCCTTCCGGAACGTCGTTTGGTTTGCAGTCTTTGCTGCAAACAGCCATGATGATGGTGCCCCATTCCATGCCATCAAGCGTCATTTCATCAGCCTCCAGCTCCGTGATGGCATGTGGTGTCAGCTGAACCTCAAAAACCCTATCTGCACCACATGTCTGGCAGCGAGGGAAACCTGGTCCGCTTCTTGATGCTGCTGTTGTAACCTTAGCATTAGAGGATGCGCCATTTTCCGAGTGCGGCGCTAGAGCCTTTCCAATAGCGTCGCTGTCACTGTACAACAGTGGCTTGCCCTTGAACTCATACCGCAGAACCTGCTCGGCGTTCTCGCCTACCCGGTCTGCGAATTTTTGGAATGTTCTGTCCATGGAAGATTCGAAAATCTCCTTGTCTTCTTTGCCCCCTCCGCTTCCGCTGCCTTCATTGTCTATTTCCATGCGCGCATTTGCTGGTATTGAGGGTGCTGATGGGACATCTAGTGTCTCGTATTCTGCATCCAGGTAGTAGTGCGGAAACGGCGTGGGGAAGGCTGACTCCGCTGGCCATGGCTCGTGTGGTCTTGGGGGCTGTTGTTCGGCAGGTGGCAGCGAGATGCGCGCTTTGGATGCAAAAGTCTCTGCAAGGGTTGTAGGTGCCTCGTCCTTGTTCTCTTCGGATGCGATGGTTTGCACTGCGGGTGCAGGGGCTGGGGCGCCAAAGGGGTTTGCGCTCGCTGACTGCGACGAGAACGGGTTGGATGCCGCATTGCCGTTTGGCTTGGAGGAAAATGGGTTCGAGAAGGGGTTTGCAGACGTCGCGGCGGCTGTGCCATTCTTGACTCCAAAGAGCGACTCGCCAATCTGGGGCTGCGGCTTCTCTTCCTGCTTCTCTTCCTTCTTCTCAGCCTTGGGCGCAGGCATCTTGTTGCTCGCGCCCTTTGCGACCCGCACGCCGCGAATGCCCCTCACGCTGCCCTCCTTCCTCCGGCACGTCTTGCGCCGACACGTCCAAATGTACAGTCGTCGCTCGTGGCCGGGAAACGTGTCGGGCATGTCGCCGTTGAGCTCGAGCAGAAGACTGAGGAGGCCATTGCAGACCTTGCACTTTGCCAATGCGCCCGAGGGGGCTGTCTTATCGTCGATCCAACTCTAAATGACGGCTTAGTGACAGACTTGCTCGCATGCTGCGTGTGCGCGTACCGGAGCGCCCCCAAGGTGGGAGATGGCGTCGCTTGTGGTGTCCTTGGTCGCGTAGCCCAGGAGCACATTGGTCTCGGTATAGTCGTCGCCGCCATCCGAGGAGTCGCTGTCGTAGGGCGCCATGGCTGTCGCTGCGGCGTGGATGCGAGTGCGAAATGGGTGTTGGCGGGGTCTAACTTTTTCGAAGGAGTGACGCGGGGCTGCCGGGTGGTCAGTGCCCCGGCCTCGCACTGTGCGAATTTGACCCAGCCCGCAACACCACGCCCTCGTCGCTCATCCACACCAACCACCATGGGCGCCCCCTTCGACTTCGCGCCTGAGCGGCCGGATCACATGCAGCAGATCCTCGATGGCCTGGATCGCTACAACCCAGAGACGACGGGCGTCTTCCAGGACTATGTCATGCAACAGTGCGAGAACCAGACGTACGACTGCTACGCCAATCTCGCCCTGCTCAAGCTGTACGTGTCTTCTCTCCCAGTCGCCGCCATTCCCACAGCTACAAGATGATCAAACAACCACAACGTTTCCTATTACCCGAGGTGCCGGAGTCTGAATCGCTCCGCCCGCTGAAGTTTCATTATTAGCTCTATCTGACAGCTTCCTCGCTCCCTGTTGTTATTAGACGCCTGTGCCGTTACCGCTAGCTAACAACGAGTCTCCAGCTATCAGTTCAACCCTCACCTCGCCCGCGACGAGACCATCACCAACATCCTCGTCAAGGCCCTTACTGTTTTCCCCAGCCCCGACTTCTCCCTCGGTCTCTCGCTCCTGCCCCCACATGTCCTGGCTCCCCTCTCGTCCTCATTACACAACCCTGCAGCCGGCGATGCCCCGCTGTCAGAAGCCGTCCAGAAGCTAAACGAGCTGAGAAACCTGCTCGAAGGCGCCGACTACGCCACCTTCTGGTCCACGCTCGACTCGGACGACCTTTACGCCGACTTGATTGCCGACGTCTCGGGCTTTGAGGAGTTGATGCGCGTGCGCATTGCTGCGACTGTCAGCCAGGCAGTCCGCGAGGTCGACCGAAGCATCCTCGAGTCGTGGTTGAACCTCTCAGGAAGCGAGTTTGATCACTTTGTTGGCAGCGTATGCGGATGGAATGTCGACGGTGCCAAGGTCAAGGTGCCCATCAACAAGGACAACGAGGCTAAGGGCACTGTTGTTCGCGAGAATGTCAAGTTTGACCGTAAGTCTATTCTTGTGCGAGGCCAGTGGAACATGTGCTAATGTGTCTACAGAGTTTGCAAGGGTCATCAAGAGGGCGTACGAGCAGCCTGCATGAGTGATATGACAGTTAAATATGACGACACGAGGATACGGATGGCACAGTTGGCGTTAAGAGGCGGAAACTAAAACTGCGTTAAGCATGCAACAGCGGCATGCCAGTCATTCTGTACAGCAATGCAGAAGTGGCCTGAGATGGCTCACCATATACCCCAAAAGTACACGGTCATCCAGCAAGCAGGCTATTGGGGGAAACGTGTAGACGATGCGGTATGTCTTGAACAAGACGCCAGTGTATGAAATATCATTCAATTTTCAACCGTTCATCAACTCGTTCTTATCAACAGATTGTGGGGTGATTTATCTTTTTTTTTACTGTCGAGTCCATCAGGACGACAACTAATATATACTTGATGAAAGAACAAACAACACGTGCTTGTCCTATTAGACAGCAACCACAATCAGCGTGGCCGTCACGACACTCCAGATCCAGGCTCGTGCTTCCACTTTCTCCGCCCCACTAGGAGTCTTGTCCCCGGCCGGCGCGTTGGCTGCAGCCGCACCCCCTTTGCCTGCATTTGTCCCTTCCTGGCTTGTTTTGGCACCCTCTGGGCTTGTACTAGTACCCTGACCTGCACTTGTACCTTGGTCTGCACTTGTGCCTTGGCCTGGACTTGAACTCTGGCTTGTACTTGCACCCTCTGGGCCTGTGCTTGTACCTGTACCTGTACCTGAACCTGTGCCCGAACCTGAACCTGTGCCTGAACCTGTACCTGTGCTTGTACCTTGTTCTGTACTTGTACCATTTTGCATTCCCATTCCCATTCCCTTGCTCGTGAACTGGCTGGGACTCTTGGACGTCATAGCCCCATCACCACCCAGCAACTGGCCGCCTCCCGACACACTTGTCGGCGCCATGGTACTATCCTTGACACACGCAGCAGTGCTATTTCCACCAAACATGCGATCTGCCACGCCCTTCCACACCTCGGTGACATCGCTAATCATCTTGGATGTAAACCACATCCTGCAGTCGGCCGCCTCGTACATGAATTCGAGCGGCACACCGGACTTGTCGTTTAGCCTCAGGTTATCCTTGAGATTGACGCCGCCAGCGACGGTGCCGGCGTTGTACGCGGAGCGCTTGAACAACTGCTGGATGTTCGCCGTCTTGCCCAGATCCATGGTATCCCATTCCTTGCGCTGCTCGGGCGACCCCAGCAGATAGAGCACTTGCATGCGGATCGATATGTCGTCCCACGAGAAGACCTGGGCGCCCTTTGTGCCGCCGACGCCCTGCATGGGGCCGGTCTGGGGGCGGCCCCCAATGGCGATTGTGCGGACTTCGCCCTGGTTCTTGAGCAGCTCAGAGGCAATGGCGCAGGTGGACGAGCACATGCCGTCGTGCAGCATGACCATGTCTTGTGCGCGGAAGGGCTGGGGCGTCTTTGTCTCGTTGGCGTTTTGGTTGTACCCAATGAGGCTGAAGCCCTCGTACGTGGTGCTGACGCTGTCGCTGAAGTTGTAGCGCAGCACGTTGGTGAACTGGTCGCTGTTGGCTTGCGCAGGGCCAAACAGCTTGTCCCAGCTGCCGTAGTCTTGGTTGTTTACATCGAGGATGTGCTGGTAGTTGAACGATGACGAGAGGGCGAAGATGTCGCTTTCGTCGGTTCCGTTGCCGAACGCTTCGATAAAAGCTGTTTTGTTCGACTGCGCATACGTCTTCTTTGCGACAAAAAGCGAAGTCAGGTTTCCAGCGGCTTTGAGCGCATCGTTGGCGCGGAATCGCGTTCCACCATAGGGCTCCGCAACGGACATTGGATAGACTTGCTTGAATGTGTCGTAGCCCAGGATTGCATTGCCTCCGCCGTTGCCGCGCAGGTCAAAAATCATCTTTGTTTTGCCCATTTTGGTACACATGCGGATGAAGTCTCGCATGGTGTTTTGGAAACTTTGCGGGTCTGCAGATAGGTATGAGGGGATGCTGAGCACAGCGACATCCTACACAAGTCAGATAAATACATCATAGAAAGTGCAGTACATACCTTGTACCCCGACCCATTCAGGAAGTATCCTCCTACAGCGAGGTCTTTGTTGATTATCTCAGCCTTTGGGTACCCAATATGCGAAGGTTGGGGAGCGGGAGCGGGCTTCGAAGGCTTCGTCGAGGTTGAAGGCGCCGGGGCGGGAGCGGCAGCGGCAGGGATAGACTTGGGTCCGGTGCAGAAACGTTGAAAGAATGCTTTGCCACTGTTCACGCCGGTGAAGTTGCCCAAGACAACCGCGACGTTCATTTGGGACCAGGTAGTGCCATTGGCGAACTCGAGAGTAGTGTTAGGGCCCTGGTACCCACCGGTACGGAAAGAACCGAGGAAAGTAGTACCAGAAGCGAGCAGAGCCTGTGATGGGAACAATGCATTCCATCGAGTGTCGGCATCGTGAAAGTCCGAGTCTGCAGATGCATTTTTGAGGAACTCTTGCGTATCCATACCGTTAATCTTCTTGATAGCCGATGGCGTAAAAGAAGCACCAGTGTTTGCTTTGACAACATCCCTGTACGAGAAGACCTCAGGTAGGGCCTGACCGTCAGACGAGACAGATACTAGCTCCGAGCCAGGTGGCCTTTGGAACTGCATGACCGAGGCCAGAATATCGGGCTGATAGGCAAAGTGGTTGTCGTATGCTCTTTGGAATAGCATCATCATCTCCAGCTGAAATTCGTACTCGGTCTTGTACCCATTAGCACTGAGTTTGCTCTGCATGCTGTCTAGTTGGCCCATGATATCGATGGGCTTTTCAGTGTATGTCATTGGTGGATCCTTCAAGTAGGCAATGTTTGATTGCCATTTTGTCATGACCTTGAGTTCGTCGATTAGCTTGATGTTTCCTTCCTTGTCAAGGGGAACCGATTGGAGACATTGTACTCCAAGCTCTGCAGGGATGACTGGTCGGGATCCAGCGGGTAATGAAGCAATGACACGCTCAACGACCGCACATGGCTCCTGTCCTGATGGTGTTGACGACGGGCCTGCGGAGTTTGAAGCACCTCCTGACTGCGACGACGAATTACCGCTCGCATCCAACGCCATCATTGTTTCGACATCGGCCTGTGTCATGACTTGGTCCATATCCATATCGGGATATCGAGGAACACCATACATCCATGGGTGGGGGTTCGCAGCGGACAGGCCGCAAAAAGCGCCTGCTAGCAGCAGCGTAGACCGCATCTTATCAGAAAGAAGCAATATAGGCTCGTAGAAACTTAGACTCCGTCGGTGTCCGAGCAAGTGGCGTTCGTATTAGTATTAAAAAAAAGCGTACCAGCGCTAATATATATAGAAAAAAAGATATAGAGAAGAAGCGAAATTTAATGGCACATGGCGACCTCCGGGAACGAGATGGAGTCAGATTGGACAGGGACGAGAGAATGAATATTAATAAAAGAAAAGGAGAAGACGAGTCCTTAGGCAAGCGAGGGTAGATGCGGACTATAGAACGGGTCTGCTACTGTTTCAGCAGCCGTATGATTTCATTTGTACTTGGCGCGCTTCGGATATGCATCGTAAGTAAGGCTAGGGATTACACTACAGCGCTGGCGCACTGCAAACGGTTGACATGCCGAAGTCTGAGGTACATAGCTGCCAAGTGATGACAAGGTGGAGGCCGAAACAAGTTACGCGTCGGCAGAGGGATGATGGCCTAGCTACACGGTATGGCGAAGACTTTGGAACCAGAACCCGGCACGGTCATGGCAGGGCCGTTGTGCAAGTTGGCCTTACGAAAGAACAAGTGTGCAACGAATCGTTTGCAAGCCATGGTGGCTTGTGTGTCAAAGAGGCCACATGCGGGAAAAGTCCGTTGTTGAAACATTGTCGATGGTCTGAGACGGAGTAGTCCACCATCCGAACCCTCTCGCGACAAAAGAAACCGGAACTCGTGTCGATGAAACCTCGACGGCATAAACTCGCAAAAGCTACCGATCAGCTTTCTTTTGCGAGTACAGCCGCTGCCGACGCAGCTGACAGGCTCTCGCACGACGAGGAGCTCGCCAGTGTGAGGTCGTGTCACGAGGCAGTGTGGGGGAGGCTGCATGAAACAGCATGGTAGAGGAAGCGATCATGCCGGCGATCAACTGGAATACAGGCCACGACTTGGAGGGCGATGGTGACTCAGGCTGGATGCGAGACGGTCGAGGAAGACGAGCGAGGAGGAGATTGGTGGCTGGTGGGTGACGTGCACGCGTGCATTCCTAGGGCTGGGGCTTGTCACATGCGCTAAGGGCGACATTGCTTGGCAGTGGGGCTTAGACCATGCCCGGCCGCGTCCATTGATGCCCAGGTGCACTTGCCACCCTGGGCCGCTTAATAGCCTCGACGCCCGCCGCTCGCCAGCTCCTCTGCTCCCTCACACCAACACCAACTCCGCTGCCTTTCATCCACCCCGCTCTTTCGCCCCCCTGCCCCGCCTGCCCCTATCTGCCCCAGCAAATCGCGCCAGTCGATTTCATGACCACGGACATCCAGAATCTCAAGTCCTTCGATCCGTTCGCGGAGGTCGACGATGCTGGAGGCGAAGTAAAGTCCACGCAGCAGAACTACATCCACATCCGTATACAGCGTACGTATCTGCCCCCCTCTGCCTTGCTGCCCGCACGGTGCTGTCCCGACGCGCCGTCGCCCATGCCCGCCCGTGCCGCTCCTTTTGCAGCCCAACAAATCGTGCAAGGCTGACGTCAACCCACCACAGAGCGCAATGGTCGTAAGACCCTAACTACGGTCCAAGGCCTACCCAAGAAGTTTGACCAGAAGAAGATCCTCAAAGTCATCAAGAAGAAGTTCGCCTGCAATGGCACCGTCGTCGCAGACAGTGAGATGGGCGAGGTGATCCAGCTCCAGGGCGACCAACGCAAGGATGTTATGGACTTCTTGACCGACAAGAAGGAAGGCCTGGGCCTTGATGGCAAGACCATCAAGGTCCACGGCTTCTAACCGTGTCGAATACGCGATGCACACCGCCGCTCCTCCCGCCAGGCGACCGCTTCGAGCGCCACGACATCAAGAGCCACACGGCGGACGCGGAGCATGCCGGCACGTTGCATGTGTGGCACGCACACACGACGATGCTGAGACGCGGTGCAGCAGAGCAAATATCCCACGGAGGGTTTGCAGGTTCCCATCTCCATGTTTCTTTGGAGGATCAGATACGCACGCCTGAAGTTTCGCACGCTGAGCCATCAGGTGCCGCTAGGAAGGGGGAGGACAGTCATTATCGGACAAGCGAGATAATAGCAGCTTTCCAGTTACAGTCAATCACAGAGTGTTTTCACTACAACCTGCTCAGCCGCAACGTGACTAACATGGCAGCAAGGGGTATCCATAGCAACATGATAAACAAACAGCTTGCCTACTCCAAGTCTTCATCCTCGACCTCTTTCATCACTTCGTCCTTGTTCGGCGCCTTTGCCTCCTGCTTCCTATACAAGCTCGCCAGTTCTTCCGCCTCCGTGGCCTCTTCGATGCTCTTATCCTCCCGCACTCTCAGAAACCGCGGGAACCTCGTACTCAGCCCTCGCTCCTCACTCACCAGCCCAATCGCCGCCGTATACGTCGGACTCAGGGTCAAATCCGCAAACGCCACCTCCCAGACCTCCTGTGGTTCAAACCACACAGCCGGGGTGCCCGCCCCACCATTATACTCCACATAGTGCGGCTGACGCGGCAAAACGGAAGTGCAATCCGGGTCATCAGGGTCGTACTTTGCGCGGTTGGCTTTGTAGAAAGCATCCGTGAAGCCAGACATGCATTTTGTGACTGCTTCCAGCTGCCCTGTTTCGGCATTGCGGATGGCGAGCAGGATCGGGGACCACCATGCTGCTTTGCGGCCGGAGCCGTGGAACGCTGCGATGGGAATGAGATCGAGGGTTTCCGATGTGGTGCTGTAGTCTTTCTTCACCTTGAGCCACGAGTCGAGGCGCTTGTCGGGTTCGTACGTTGAAAGCAGGGCTTTGCGGCGTCCAGAAGAGGGCTTCTGATCGTCTTTATCTGGATCCGCAGATTTGGGCTTCGCTTTGGACTTTGCAGGCTTCTTTTTCTTGGGGGTAGCAGGCAGCGAGGGTGTCTTTTCGACGAGGCCCGCTTCGTCGCCCATTTCGGCCACGAGATCGGGATTCGGCAGGTTATCTAGGACCTTGACCATGATGCCTTCGCATTTGGTATCGAGCGCGCCTTGGAAAAAGGCCTGCACGGCTTCGACGTCAGCGGACGTCGCATCGAGACTTTTGACCCATGTAAAGTGGTGCGAGATTTCGACGAACAGGCTGCGGAGGAGGGATCTGCGTTCTCTGAAGGGCCGGTTGAGCAGTTCTTCGCCGTTGAGATACATGAGGTCGAACGCGAAGAGGCACACGTCAATCGTCACGGCGCCGATGACGACGTCTTTTCTCGCGCGGTTGGCCAGAGTCTGGAACGGTCTGAGGTCTCCTGTTTCGCGGTCCACGGCTACGACTTCGCCCTCGAGGATAAAGCTCGACACGCCCTCGCCCCGGATCCTCGGTACCAGCGCCACCAGGTCGGGATACTTGTCCGTCATGACTTCGAGGTGCCGCGAGAAGATGGTCACTTTGCCCTTGTCGTCACAGTGCACCTGCGCCCGTTGCCCGTCGTACTTGTACTCACACGCAAAATCTCGGCCTTGCAACTTGGTCAGCATCTCGCCCATGTCGCGTGTGATGCTACCCAGCATTGGGCGAAGTGGAATGTGGAGTGCCAGTCCACACCGCACAAGCAGCTCTTCACAGACACCAATCTCGAGGAGCACGGGTATGAGATCGTTGTAGTTTGGGCGGCGGGCGAAGCACGCTTTGACAATCTCCTCGTTCCTGCTGTAAATCTCGACTAGCTCTTCTTTCTTGAGTCTCGCCAGGGCCTTGCGGTCGCGGGTCTCAAACTCGGCGCCTGGGGGCTTCGACAGCATGAATGCTCGGGATAGGGCAATCAGCATTGTTGTCTTGACGGCGCCTATCCGCAAATGTTGAACCAGAGTCCGCACAATATACCGGCTTTCCTCTGCGCCCCGTGCATCCTGAACCAGTCTCTCTACAATGCGCTGTTTATTTTCCACACTCCCATGACCCCTGCTATTCGCGATGCGAACCAACGAGTCAAACACGCTCTTGATGGTCAGCGGTTTTGGTTTGCGCAGCGTAAACGACTGTTTCTTTTTGGCTTCAAACGCCACGTCGCCCGCGTCTCCATGCTTGCTGCTCAGCGCCTTCAAGCTGGCATTGTCCAGTCCACACACCTTCTTCAGCGCCTTTGAGATTGCAGAGCCCCCGAGCCCGAGCTCGAGATCGATGTACGGAGGCGAAATGGCGTTTGTGGCGAGCCAGACGGCGGGGAGCAGGCTGCTTGCGTCGCTCTCGATGATGGTCCGTAGCAGATTGACAAGAGTGTCTATAATCTTGATGCGGCTCGTGGTGCCGTTTATCAATATGAAGCATCTTGTCAGCAGCGCATACGTTGCATGGCCTCCATCTGCTACCCAGTGCTTTTGTAGGTCGGGTATGTATTCCGCGGGGTCGAACTCAAGCGGGCTCTGGTCGAACGGTATGTTTGCGGTTATTGTGTCTTCTTCCGAGGCGGTTGATTGTAGCGTGAGTGTGTTCTTCGCCGTCGGGGGTACAAGTTTGGGTCTTTCATCCACAGCCTCATCGCGATCTGGTGATTTAGACTGTGAAACCTCTTTCGCCTTGTCGGTCGCAGTAGACTCCTCGGGCTCGGCATACAGCTCGTTTGAGCTGACGGGCGCCGCATTTTGGCTTCTCTCCCGGTCCTCCTTGTCCCATTGCTCCTGCAGTTTCCGCGCCAGCTCTTCGTCCGTCAGTCCCGAGTAATCTTGCTCTGCGGGCGCTTCAGTGCTGGCAGTATTCGTAGGCGCATGCTTGGGTGTCGCTTTCGCCGCTTGCTTTGCAAAGAAGTAGTCCAAGCCGCGCACCGGCTGTCCCGATCCATCATTTTTCTTTCTGCGCTTCGAAGGGCTGTTCATGGTGCGCGTATACGCTGGTGCAGCGTGTGGGTGAGTACTTTCATGTCAGGTTGATGTCAGATTGAGGTACGTCATGACGCGTACGCTATGACCAGGTCGAACTCGACATCACGTGCTCACGCGTTGGGTGGTGGTTCTGATCATCGCTTCGGCAGCATGACATAGATGACTACTAGCGAATTGAAGATCCTTGTACTTTCATCCGTCGCTCTAATACTGTTTTGCTATGTGTATGTGCTGGACACATATTTCAACACCATCGTATACTTTTCCCTTCCCGTCTCCATAACCCCAAAGTACCCTCCATCCACCCTTCAAACCCCCACATTTCCCACGTAAAGAATCCCGAAAAGCCCAAGCCCTCCCCTCTCCTCCATCCCACTCCACATTATCACCCCTACAACACCTCATCATAACACAAAACATCCCTCTCCCTACCCGCCTGCTCCACAGCCCTCCGCTTATTCCCATTATACCGCTGTGCACCGCCCCTTGCACTCCACGCCCTACGCAAGCCCGCAGTATCATCATCCGGGCCCGCAATCCTTCTGTCACCCGGGCCATCCCAGAGCTTGAACGTGCCCGTTGTCTTGTCCGTGGAACCCTGCTGGCCTTCGATTTGCGAGCCGACGTTGTACTTGGCTGTTGGTCAAGTGCGCTTTGGATTAGCTTCGTGTGTTTTGCGGAATGGATGGGCGGATGGGAAGAGTGGTGGAGGGAAGAAAATGAGAGAAGAGTGATGGAGGAAGAGAAGGAGGGAAGGGAGGAAAGGAAGTAAATCATCTTACCAAACAACTTCGCAGTATCTCTCTGCAATCTCCCCACCAGCATCTGCACAGCCGTAACCGCACACGCATCCGTCTCCACACGCAGGATCTTGGTCTGACCATCCATATTACATGTGAGCAGTGCGCAGAATCGCTTGTTGGCTTCGTCCTCGCAAATCACAATATCTAGCATCATGTATTAGCGTCGCTTGTCTTGCTCCCCCTTCCTTATCTTCTCTTCTTCGTGTTTTTTTTTGGTGAGGGGGGAAGGGAATCAATGAGATGGGTTTTGAACAATACCGTAGAATCTGAAACGCTCACTACCGTACAAGAGACGGCAGTTCCCCAGACAGAGTTCTTTCAGGCTGTTGATGCTGTTGACCTACGATTGCGAAATCGTTAATGAGTGAGGAAAGGAAGGGGATGGAAAGGTAGAGGGATAAGCAGGGCTTACGAGGGTGCTGCTGGTGAGCCACGAGGTGCTGCTGATGTCGATGCTTGCGGTTTGCACGGCGAGATCGTTGGTGTCGATGTAAGACATGGGCATGGGCATGTTTGGTTGCGTGGTAGTGGTGGTGTTGGTGTTGGTGAGTGACTGATATGGTATGGTATAGTATGGTGTTATGCCTGTCAAGCTTTGAATCAAAACCAGAGTATTAAGTCGTGATGGTAAGAAAAGAGCAGAGAAGAAGAAACAGACCCCAGAAACTCGTGGGATTTAAATACATACCAAACCAGTAAGTATACCAAACCAGCCGCCACGACTCGGGATCTCCATTTCTATTTTACCTCTCCGTACTTTACGAGTAAAAGCATCTGTCCATCCACCTACATCAAGCCCTTGCTATATGCACGTGAAAGTAAAACAGAACATCGAACGCGTGCGGATATCACACAGCACACAATACACAAACACATTCCCGGCATATTAGTCCTCTACAACAAAACAAAGCATATGCACCACACATGTCTTCCAACTCAAAGACTGGAAACTGCTGGTATTGCTACAGACTCGCTTAGTCCAGCCCCCATTGCTGTGTCTATCACACCTACATAGTAAGTGTAAGCAATACCAAGAACCCACCGCTCAGACTAGTAGTCATGTCAACTTTACTGTGGCGTGACACGATTATTCCAACTAGTAACTCGAATCACGGTTTATTTGCATTGCGTCTATGGTTGTATGTTGGCTGCTTTACTTGCTCGCCGCAGCGACAAAGGCGGTCTGCCTGGTAGCGATTTTAATCGTTGCTAGATATTGAGTATACAGAAGGACACTTGTCGTGTTCAAAGGTGCTGGGTTGGGTATATGTAAGTAGTATCTCAGCGATATGGTTTACCGGATACAGCTGCCAGCTGCGTTGTGCCTTCTGCTGCTTTAGCATCAGATTCAAACAACGGGTTTTTTCTCTCACACATGCGTCTTAATCGTCTTTTGCTATTTTGCTACATCAAATCAACACAGAACAGAGACAACAGTGCTGTCATACAACCACAGCTCGATGTTTCCTTTCTTTCAGAAGGATAAACTTGTGTACATTGCTTCTATCCATGTCTGATAACTATTAAAAAATATAAATTTTTGAGGCTCTTCCACCCTCCTCGCCTTTCCTCGCCTTCTCCTCAATCTTCATCTCGCTCTCTCTCACTCACTCACTCTCACACGAACCGCGCTCCCCCGCCCGCATACATACTTTATTCCCTGCCGCTGCCCTTGCATCCTTCCTTATTCGCTATAAATACCCTGACTACCGCTCATAAAACGCCCGTTGCAATCATGGTCAAAACTCCAGAAATAAACAATAAAAACACCAGGAGGAGTTGAAGTTTCTCCCCCAACTCAACCGATCTATCATGCACTCATACGCAAACACATAGCAATAAAAAAAAGGAAAAGGAGAAAGAAAAAAAACCAGGTCAAACTCCGATGAACACAGCATAGTCAGAGCAGGTTTTCTGAATTAGCACCATGGAGAATCGGGGTTGAGAAGAAGAAGACTGGAGAAGAGAAAGAAAGAAAAAAACAGCCCAATTGTGACTCGCGGATATGTGCCTGCAATAATAACGACACTCGATATACGAGACGCCCATTCCACATCTTTTTTAATACAAGAAAAAGGGAGGGCCGTGAGATGAAAAAAAGGCGGGTGGGGGGAATCACTGAAGAAAGAAAGAAAATGAAAAAGGGCATCAAGACAGATTGTAGGAGTTATCGCAGCAGGCATTGCTCGTTACATCCAGCAAAGCAGAAAAGACCGTAAAAGCCGTTTGGGTGGGGGAGATGGTGGTACACGGATGACGAAAAGGGGTAAACGAGGTGATGTAAAAGGTGGTAAGACGGCCAGTTTACCATTGCTTCGACCTTTAATCGATTTCAATGACGTTGTTTTGCGTCTGTCCTGGCCGGCCTCCTCTGCCTTGCTGTTGTTGCATGTGTTGCCGCCCATTCATCATGTGCTGCTGAAGTGGTCTTCCATTTGGTTGTTGGGCGCGTACGTTGAGCTGTGGGTTGGCTTGCTGTTTTCTCATCTGTTGCGCCTGTTGATGACGAGCCTGCTGTTGCATTCTTGCCTGTTGTTGCTGTTGCTGTTGCTGCTGTTGTTGTTGTTGCTGCTGCTGCTGCTGCTGCTGCTGCTGTTGTTGCTGATTTCCTTGGTGCATCCCGTTCGGCTGTGCCAAACCTTGACCAGAATTTTGAGTTTGCTGCGTCGGTCGTTCCAGCGGTGGAGGCACATACCCACCCTCCATCTTGCAGCTCAACACGCACTCATCTAATTTCCGTAGTGCATCGGGTATCGCGTCCAGCCCCGCAACCATGCCATTCCGCGTGCCAAACCACCCTGGGCCTTTACTACTGAATAATCCTTTCAATTTTCCCTGTAGGATGTCAAGCCGTCTATGGCCTGGTGCACGCTCAGGTGTAGGAAGCACGTTGGGGTCTTTAGGGCGCAGATTGTCTTCGACAAACCAAAACACCTCGTCGTCTTTGGGTTGGAGGCGGATGTCGAATGTGCACACGGGGTTCTCGTAAGTAAGGCGATATTTGAGAATAGAGTGGACGTGGATGGCGGGATTTCGGACATTACCAGGCGATCGTTGTTCGATTTCGCGGATGACTTTGAACAAAGGCCGCGTGAGAACAAGAGTCGTGCAGAAACGGTCCAGACCGTTCGAATCGCTAGGCTCAAGGGTTATGAATGAGGGCAGTCGGTCGTTAGCAATGTCGTTAAGCAGGTTGAGGATGCGATGGTGAGGATTTTTCGACGACAGCTCGATGGAGACCTCCTTCTCTGAACTGAAGCTGACGGCGGCAGAGTATGGCGAAGGGCCGTAAAGGAATTGCACTCGTTGTAATGAGGATGATGCAAGTCGCATCTTGCGCTTCTGGAGCGTAGTCGCAAAGCTACGAAGACGGTTGACGTCTCGCAATCGTGCGCGCAGCTCCCCGAGTATGTCATGACCAAAGGGCGTAGAAAGAAGGATCCTAAAGTTGCCGTCATCCGCAAACTTGAAAGCATTCTGTGGTGAAGCCGCCATAAGCTTGTGCATGTCTGCAGCGACAGACTTGACCATCCTTCCCGTCGCCATGTGCCATACGTTTTGGCCGCTAGCTCGCAAACCCTCGCAAGTGATTTTGATCTCCGATTCGAGCCAGGAGCCATGTTTTGATCTCGTGGTGAGAAGGTCGGCAGTTTGCACCCGTAGGACCCATCGGCGAGCGATGCGTCGTGCTCCTGAGGAAGCACTCGTTTGTCCCAGCTCTTCCTCGAGGGCGTACATCTTCTTCTCCTTTTCGAGTTGACGCGCCGTGACACGGAAGCATAGTAATTGCAGAGCAACTCTTTCCAGACTTGCCAGAGTGTTCCTGTTGATGGGCAAGGTGCTCCCATCGGGCCTGTCCATCCTGATTTGCTCAGCGTATTCGATGCTGTTTCCACTAGGGCCGATTTCGAGGATCCACCACGACTCTCCCGAAGAGTCTATGACGGCTGCGAAAGCCCAACTTTGCGACCACCCGCGCGGCCAGTATAGAGCGGACGAGATGACGTCCAGCTTGACAGCAGCCTTGACTATCTGCGGATTCAGTGCCTGTCTTGCCACCGGTTGCCACCCAAGTTGCTGGGCGTTTCTTTGAATCAAGCTAAGCAGTGTACCGGCCAGTACTTGCGTCATTACATGTGCCATCTGTGTTGGTTCCCTACCCATGTTGAAGGCGTTTTCGGCTCGTGCTGACAAAGCACTTGCTGGCCGCACGATGTGGTTGCCGGTGACTGGCTCTAGTGACAAGGTAATCAAAGTGGATTTGGTGCCCAGACTTGCGTTGAGCTTGCAATCCGCGGGCTCAGCCTCGGACAAGTCGGCCTCTGCAGCAAGTCCAGACCTGAAGCTCTCCTTTGTGGCCTGTAGAATGTCGCTCGTATGGCGCGCAATGACAAGCTTGATGACTTTTTCCATGGAAAGGTTTGTCCAGTCAAATGCAAAGTTGGCGTCTTTGACCTCCTTTCCTTGGCGGAACCATCGTGTGGTCAGCGAGGGTCTCGGAGGCCCTCTCCACGATATCTTTGCGTTTTTGGGCTTGTTGGTGGAGATGCCAATCTCGATCCAGTTCTTCTTTCCGGGCTTGTTGATCCAGTACTGCACAACGAGCAGGCGGTGTACTGGCTCGACCTTGAGGGAACCTGCCCATCCGGAGCGAACAAGCGCAGCGGCCTGCGAGCGAAGAACCGAGATTTTGTGCGTCAGGATGAAGTTGTTCAAGAAGTCATAAAGACCGCTCAAGCCCTTGTCCTTTAGCACAAAATCAGCCTGCTGTTTGAGCTGCATGAAGAAACGGCTTCCAATGGTGACGGTGGGCGCTGGGGTGAACAGCAATCGCAAGTCAATGAGGAACCACTGCTCTGAAGCATCTTCAACAAAAGACATGACATCAAATTCCAGTTCGTTGTCAATGACAAACGTGACACGGCCAGAATGTATGCGCCAGTTGCGGAGGTGTCGCGGCAGGTTTTCGTGCACGTTCAAACGGATCGAGAGAGAGGTGTTCATGTATCGCAGAAGCTTGAGAGCTTGCTCGGAGGAGATGGGCGCGGGCGGAATGTAGCCCAGGCTCGGCATCCACGATGCCTTGCCGGTGGACAGCACCTGGAGGGCCGTGGCAATGTCTGGGTTGTTCTCTCTGGCAATGTTGGAGAGCAGCTTGATCCTGTCGAGTTGGTCATCGGCGGCGTCCATATGGCGGGCCTGTGCGCCGGCCCATGAAAACAAATCGATAAGCTTGGAAATGTCAAAGGCCGCTTTCTTTCCCCATTCGGCAAGGACCAGCAGCTTGATGAACTTGGAGCGCTGCTCCTGGGCAAACTGGAGAAGGAGCAGCTTTTTCCGCTTGTTCGCCTCGGCGTTTCCCTGCATGTTGGCTGCACCGAGCCCGTTGGGCAGGGCGCCGTTGGCCACGGGCGCAATTGGCAGGGCAGCCATTTTCTGCAGTATGGCGCTCAGGTCGTTGTAGGACTCCTGGGATATGCGCAGCAACAGCGTCGACAGGGCGTTGTACTGCTCGGGGCCAATGTGTGCAATCTCGGGCGGGAGCTCCGAGTAGTGCTCGAGCGAGGTGCTTGAAGCGGAGGCGGCGTGGAGAGGGGCGTCCTTGGGGGGTGCTCGATGGGCCATGGAGCCTCCTGCGGGCGAGCCTCTCGGCGCATCACCGGGGTCGCCATTGGTAAAGTTGCCGTCGTGGGAGCGCTTCATGGTGGCGCCATCTCGTGAAGCCGTGGCTGCGTGGGACGCGGTGTGGTTCATCATGAGGATGCCGGGCATGCTACGTCGAGTGTCGAGCAGCCCTGGGGCGCCTTGGCCGCACCCGCTCTGCGCGCGCCTGGCCGTCGACTAGGAAAACGCGGGCGTGCAGTCGCGGCAGACAGCGATACGGATGCAGGGTAGCTGGGGGCGTGTAGCTGGGCGTGGTGGATGGACGAGAGGCGGGCCGGGGCGAGGCTTGTTTGGCCGGGGCGAGGGCGGCGAGGGCGGCGAGGGGCGCTGCGATGGGCAGGGCAGGGCAGGGCAGGGCAGCAGTCAGGTGCAGATGTCGGGGGGGAGCAAGGAGCAATTACGGGATCGCAGGCAGAGCCACGGGCGGACGGGGCGCGGCGGGCGGGTGAATGAAAGCAAGGTTGGGGCGCGCGCGGTGGGCGACTATGGCATTGTCGCGCGCGGTGGGCAGCAAAAGAGGGTGATGGCGGCGGTCGCGCGCGTCGGTGGGAAGCGGTGGGCAGTCCGGGGGATGGTGGGATGGCGGGATGGGAGACGCGTCGGCGGGTGGTGGTGGTTGGGGCGGGAGTGGATGTGCGGTGATGCAAAAGGATGGATGAGGTCGACGAGCCCTCAGCCCTGGCCGGGGCGCAGTCTTGGCGCTCGGCCCTGCGTCGCTGCCTCGATCGGCCGGCGGGCAGGCAGGCGGCAGGCACGCAAGGCAGGCACGCCCTGCGCACTTACTCACCCACCCGCCCATTCACTCACTCACTCAGGCCAACACCGCGCCCGCCAACCAGAGCGCCCGCCATGCATGCACAACACCACCACCATCGCCACCATCAACACCGCATCCACACAACACCACCACCACCACCACCGCCATCATCATCATCACCACGACCATCTCCATCGCGGCCGCCAACACCACGCGCCGGCCAGGTGTAGGCGCGCAGTAGCGAGCGGCTGCGGCGGTCAGTGAGTGGGTGCTGCCGTCACCCGCAGATTGGCATGCACGCCCACTGCCCGCTGCCCACTGCCCATGTGCATGTCTCGTCGCACCGTCACCGTCTTGGATAAGCCCCTGCTGCACCGCCGGCCAGGCTGGCTGCTGGTGCGGCAACGGGCAAGCTTGACGCGGCAAAGCAGTCGTCGCATTATCAGATGTCCAGGTCATGCCGCCGCCGCCCATGGCCCAACTTGCCTCGCCCAGCGCGACCATGGGATCGCCCGCTGCCCACCCAACAACTCCACCATCGCTCGCTCTCCCCAGCGCCCCTCCTAACCGCTTCCTGTCTGGCCGTTGGCCGCGTGCTGTGCTGTGCTGTCCTGCTCGTCTGTCGCCGTGCCAGTGCCTCTCTCCTCTTGCATCCCCCCCAAGCGCCCCCAGCATCACCATGTCTGAGGCCCGGTGACGCTCCTCCCGCCCATTAGCCTAGACCCTGCTCCCCGGACGGCTGCGTTCATTCGATGGCACCGCGCGCGCCCGAGCTTCCGCCCTACTACCGACCGCCGCCCTCGATGACGCGAGATGCCTCGTCGCACTCCAAAGTCTCCGTCTCGGTGCCCTCCATCTCCCAGTCCAACGAGGCAGACGATGAGCAGAGCCTGTCGTCGCGCCACACCTTCGACATGGAGTCTGCCCCCGACCGCCCCCACTATGCCGGCGAGGACACCCGCCTGACGAGCGACAGAGAGCTCCGCGGCTTCTACATGTACGGATGGGCCGCCGAGGTACCGTTTGACTCCCTGCCCGTCACCCTCGTCGTCGCTGTCGTCGTCGTCGTCGCCCAAGCCGCCAGCACCACTAACGCGCCCAGGTCTTCGTCGTGTGCGGCATCGGCTCCTTCATACCCGTCACCCTCGAGCAGCTCGCCCGCGAGAATGGCGTCCTCCTCGCCGACCGCTCCACGCCATGCAAGGCCACCATGCCCGTCGTGAACCCCAGTTTCTTCTCCTCCTCCACCTCTGCTGTAGACGCCCTCTTCAATCCCCCTCCGGAAAAGGGACAATGCGTTGTTTACATCCTCGGTATTGAAATCAACACGGCCAGCTTCGCCATGTACACGTTTAGCATCTCCGTCCTGATACAAGCCCTGCTCATCATCAGCATGAGCGGCGCCGCAGACCACGGCAGGTTCAGGAAGACGTTTCTCCTCTACTTTGCCTTTGTCGGCAGCATTGCGACCATGCTGTTTCTGCCCGTTGTGCCAAAGGTGTATATCCTGGGTGCATTTCTCGCAATCATCGCAAACACGTGCTTTGGTGCAAGCTTCGTGCTGCTCAACAGCTTTCTGCCTCTCATGGTGCGCTTCCACCCAACAGTCAAGTACGCAGACACAAGCGCCGCAACCTCGTACGTGGAGAGAGAGGAAGAGGAAGAGGAAGATGGCGGCATCGACATCGACATCGAGACCGAGACCGAAGAAGACGAAGAGAGAGGCGGAGAAACACCCACGCAGGAAAACGTGATTCGAGGCGCCCAGTACGCCAACCAGCTTGGAGAGCGCGAGGGTCTCCTCGACGAAGTCGCCGATGCCACCACCGCACTACTTCCCCACACGCCACCAAGCGCCGACCTGACCATCCCAAGAGCAAAGTCCAAATCTGCCGCCTCGGTCGAGCTGGCCCTTGCGACCAAAATCTCGTCTTATGGCATTGCCATTGGATACATTGCCGCCCTGCTCGTCCAGACTATCGGCATTCTCGTAGTCATTGCTTTCAAGTCCTCAAACTTTGGCCTTCGCCTTGTTCTCTTCATCGTCGGCGCATGGTGGTTCGTCTTCACTCTCCCTACCGCGCGTTGGCTGCGACCCCGCCCTGGACCTCCCTTACACATTGATGCGCAAACGTCCAAATTCCGTACTGCCCTCGCCTATTTTACCTACTCGTGGAAGTCACTCGGCCGCACAGTAACACATGCGCGCCACCTCAAGGACGTGCTGCTTTTCCTGGCAGCCTGGTTCTTACTATCAGACAGTATAGCCACTGTCTCGGGAACAGCCGTGCTCTTTGCAAAAACGACACTAGGAATGCCCTACGCCATGCTTGCCCTCATCAATGTCATTGCAACCGTCTTTGGAGTCCTAGGCGCTTTCCTCTGGTCCCGTCTATCTGCTTTCTTCCGCCTCTCGCCTACACAAACCATTTTGCTCTGTATCCTGCTCTTCGAAACCATCCCAATCTACGGTCTTCTGGGCTATATTCCGGCCGTCCAGCGCCTGGGTTTCCTAGGCCTACAGCAACAATGGGAAATGTACCCTCTAGGCGCCGTCTACGGCCTTGTCCTCGGCGGACTCAGCAGCTACTGCCGCGCGCTTTTCGGTGAACTCATCCCGCCAGGCTACGAGGCAGCCTTTTACGCCTTGTACGCCATTACCGACAAGGGCAGCAGTATATTTGGGCCAGCCATTGTAGGCGCAATAACCGATGCATACGGAGAAATCAGACCTGTAAGTTGTCCTTTCTTTCTCCCCATCTTCCAACGCTCGTTCCCTGTCTCCAGGAGAAACTAACTAACCAACCAACAAAAAAAACAGGCCTTTTGGTTCCTGGCCCTCCTCGTCGGCCTCCCTTTCCCCATCATGCTCCTCGTAGACGTGGACCGCGGCCGCGACGAAGGCGCTGCTCTCGCAAAAACCCTCGCTCAACTCTCCCGCGTAAGAGATGCTCTCGATGACTACCACGATGAGGACTCCTTGTCCCAGGATATTCGCGATGATCTGCACAGCTCGTATTCTTACCAGAGGGGGACGAGAGAAGGGTTTTGATCTCGCTTGCCTGTCTCTTGTTTTAGCGAGCTCGGCGCTTTTTTTTCTTTTCGTTGTTGGTTGGTTGTTGGTCGTCCTTGTCGTTGTCGTCGTGCGTGCAGCTCTGGCATAATATCACGTCTTGGCATATCCGTGTGTTGCATTTTGTATAGGGCGTTTTCGTGCTGCCATGGCGACAGCTTCTTCTTCTTCTTCTTCTTCTTCTCCTTCTCCTTATGATTATTATCATGATCCTTATTCACATGTCTGGTCACGAGTTAGATGGCATCTACGTTCCCTTGTTTTGTTTTGTTTTGTTTTTTCGCTCTGAGGCGCTATAATGCTGCATAATGGATGGTTTTGCGAAAAATGTCAAGTTTTGCTCGTAGTATGCACGATTGGAATCAGTCCAACTAACGCCTTTACATGCTCGTATATTCATCCTCTCTCTCTCTCTCTCTCTCTCTCTCTCTCTCACTTGCTTTCTCGTCTCCGTCATTGCAGCACGCACGACGTGTAACATGTATGTATGTATGTCGTGAAGCCATGCATCCATGCATCCATGCATCCATCTAACCATCCAAATCAAACATCTCCCGATGCTCCTCCCTCGCCTCATCATCTGGTAGGTAATCCGCAATAATCTTCCACATGTCCTTTGCAATCTTCTCTCTTTTCCTGGCCACGCTCGCCCGCGCCCTCCATTCCTTTTCAATCGCCTTGCGCTCGGCCGGCGTGATCTGGAACTGCTGTTAATAACCCATTCATCTCACACAGTAGTATTCTATTATTCCCAGAACAAAAAAAGTGGGAGGGGGGGGCAAAGAAAGAGAAAAAAAAGAAAAAAAACTCACCATCCTCCCCTTACCCTTCCTCAACCCATCCAACCGCCCTTCAATCTCCACTTTCTCTCTCTCCAGCGCATCCACACCCGCAACCAGCTCAGCCGTACTCAGCGTCGAGTTGAGCGCCGAAAGCGCACTCCGAAGCGTTTTTGCCGTCGCATTCAGCGTGGCTGTTTGGCTGCGGAGATGCAGGATCGTGGCGTCGAGCGCGGCAAGTTGTTCTGTCGTGCATATGTCTGCTGCGTCCTGGAGATAGCCAAGGCACTGTCAGCGTCTTGTATACAATTTATCTTTCCTGTCCGTGATCAAGGAAAGCGAGGACGGGAGTGTGAATGGAGGATCTTCTTACCTGCAGTGCATGATATACAATCTGCTTGCCTGTAGCCAGCCAGCCAATGATATTAGTTCACCCTGTCAGTATTTCCAGACCTCAAGACGTGCGTACCTGCTGCACGTCCTTCGATCAATTTCTGCTCATGCAAGTCTTTGAGGATTTTGGCTGCCGAAGCTGGGCGAATGGTCAGGCACACTGGTTTGCAGTATTAGGTACGCAGGCGCGCAACGCACCTTTTGTCACCTTGTTGTGCAGGTTGGCAGACACGTCGATTGCTGAGTAGGGGCGGTTCTGCTTGCCTGGAGCATGTTAGTATGTGAGGCTATGAGCTCGAGTGGAAATGCCGCGAGGTGAGTGAGTGAGTGAGTGACGTACGCAGGTACTGCAGTACCATGTCTGCAGCTTCGCTGGCTGAGGCTTTCTCTTCAGTCTTCTTGCGTGGCGCCATGGTGTAGGATTCGCAAGTTCAGAACAGGAAAAAGTGTGTAGAGTCGAGGTTCCTGAAAGGTCGACAAGTGAAGTCCCGCTGTGAGACGGTGCCAAGCCACGAGCATACTACTCGAGGAAGGAGCTAGTCATGATCAAGCCAAAAAGAGCAGGCACCTCACGACGACTGTGCCCATTAGCAATAGAAATCCAAGATAAGCATTGGCTGAGATATTCTTATTCTCTTTATCCTGGACGCAATGCTATACGACAAGTGTTTACCCACCCTAACCTCCGCGCTCACCAAACTGCGTAGCCCAGTCTTCATACTCTTTCAGCCCCTGCTTGCTGACAGACGGCCGGATAGTCTGCAGACTAGCCTCAAAATCCCGATACTGTATGGGCCGTATTTGGTCCATGGTCATGGAAAGGAGCTTTTCTCCGAGCGAGCGCAGTGGACCCATGGCTGCGTCTTTGGCAAGAGCTGTTATGTCAGACCCTGAGAAACCTGCATCAATGTTAATTCCATGTTCACACCACATCAACTGATAAACACACCTTCAGTGAGCTCGACCAAACGATCCAGATCTTGATCACTAAGCTCATGTTTCTGGTGACTCAATAGCGTCTGGATCTGCTGCTTCCTAACCGAGCCCTCAGGGAGCGGAATATATTGTCTTCGCACAAACCTTCGTCTCGCTGCCTCGTCAATGGCCCATGGAAGATTGGTTGCGGCGAGCACAAGCACTCTGCTAGCATCCCCCTTCTCCTTCTCCTTTTCAGTGAGTGCACTTCCAGCGGCTGCCTTTTGCAGATCAGACCACTGGATGAGAAACTCGGTTTTTATGCGTCGCGTTGCCTCGTGTTCACTCGAGCCGGAGCGAGACGAAAGAAGCGAATCGATCTCGTCAACAAAGATGATCGATGGGGCAAGCATTTTAGCTAGCTGGAATAGCGCACGAACTAGTTTCTCGGATTCGCCCAGAAACTTGGACGTAAGACTGCTCGCAGAGATGGCGAAAAAGGTGGACTTTGACTCTGTTGCAACAGCTCTTGCCAACATTGTCTTTCCTGTTCCCGGGGGCCCGAAGAGAAGCATACCGCGCGCTGGTTCCCGCAGACCCATGAATAGATCTGGTCTCAAAAATGGGTAAACGACCGTTTCTTTCAACGCCGACTTGGCCACATCTAGCCCCGATACATCATCCCAGTGCACTTCATCTCCTTGTATCACGATTTCGTTCAAAATCTGCTGTGCTGCTTGTTTGTCGACACCCCGCGGCAGGTTCCTCAGAATCTCGTCTGCTCGTCGCTTCCACTCATCTGTTTCTTCGGGTTCTGATTCGGCCTCTGCACTGTCTGTGCTTGGGGTATCGGGCAAATCTGCGCGCATGGAATTTCCTCTGCCTCTGCCTTTTCGTACAGGCGACGGTCTTTTCTTCACCATGTCCCCGTCCTCCTCGAGCGCTATAGTCTCAGGTACCTCGTCTTGCTCTGAATCGGTTCGTGTACGCGTATTACTACTCGTGGATTTCGGTACCAGCCGCCGTGTCGTTGGGTCCCACATGACCCCTCCTCTTTCACTTCTCTCACCACCACTGTCGCCATATGAGTATGCTGCTGCTGATGCCGCGAGGTTGCGTGGATCAGGGGTAGCCTTGGGATATTCTTTTCGGTACGAAGGCAACGCTGTGCCACCCAACGACAGGCCCGCGAACCGACCCGGATCGACTGATTTTCGAGGAATTGACGATCCTGTTCGTTCAGACGCTGAAGTCCTAACGGGCTGGGTATCATTATTACCACTAGCGCCCGAGACGGCATACGCAGTAGACGCAGAGCCTTCACCAGCTCGGAAATAGAATGGCGCTTGTGCAGGTGGCAGTTGCGATTCCGAACCCGAAGATGCACTTGACCTCTCAGCAGCCGCCTTGTCCATCGACGAGCGTGACGAGGCAACTATCGAAGATGCCGATGGATTTGACGGGCCCAGAGCCGGACGAGCAGACGATCTTGTGGTCTTGACAGTCCACGCTTGAGTAGCTGCTTTCGAGGCATCGGGGCGGGTCCTCAAAGAGTTGGGCATCTTGGACGATGATTTCTTGCCTTCCCTTCCAGGTCTCAATGTCCGTAGTAATCTACTCCCTTTTTCTGGCGACGGTGTGCGCGTCTTTTCGTCGTCTGCAGGTCCTGGAGACAGCGTCGATGCGCTCCGGACCTGCGACAGGCTGTTGTCTCGTGACGACGCATTGCCTGAGCTTTTGCGAGGTGGAAGCGCGGGGCGGTATGGTAGTGGCGGTGGCCTTGAGAGATCGGTGTATTCTATGGGCGGTAACGATCCACCACCAAGCCATGACGAAGACGGGTTCGCCCCGTTTGGTGACTGGGCCCCTTGGTGAGATGATGTCGCATGCGCATTTGTCTCAGACGACCCTGAGCCAAGGCTTTCTTTCGAATCTTCGCGGCTCTTTTTCAAGGCTTCCAGCAGATCGACGCGCTCCTTGCACTGCAGTTCCAACTGACGTAACGATTCGATGAGCGCCCTCTCGGTTTCGGTCGCAGGGCGGTAGGTAGAGGGGTTGCGACGAGCATTATGGTAATTGATGTGATCAAGGGCCGACTTCCAGGACCGCAGCGCTTCGGGCTCGTTGTTCTGCGGAGCGTCAGCCGGCATTCTCTCATGACATGCGACACTTGGTGCGTCGTTGGGCGCTAACCTGGCTCTCAAAGTATACTGCAGTCGAGCAGGCTAGAAAAGCCTCGTCGTATGCTTTTTGGGTGGCACTGGCGCGCATAGCGAAACGCATAGATGCCGCGCGCCCAATTCAGGAGAATGGATGTTGTGGAGACGGGAATAAGTGTCCCGCGTCGAGGTCATGGGTTGGTGGTGGTGTAGGTTCATTCATGTGTTGCATGCGCCGGTCCTAGCTCGCGCTTGCGGGTGACGTAGGTCGCTGCCCAGTGCATATGCGTAACCTCCAAGGCTGAGCAACGGCAACCCGACAGAACAAAACATGCTGCTGCTTTGACGTTGTGCCGATATACGCACCCCGGCACAGTAGGTCCGATGGGATTCTAGGAATGTTTGCATGGTATCGGTACAAAGAGCCCATGAGCACGTGCAGGTGCATGTGCAAGTGCAGGTGCAGGTGGGGGGTGCGATCAGAGGCTAGACAAGAGCGGGCCGCCTTCTATTATCGATTACGCACCTGCAAAGAAGCTTCCATATACACCCCGGCCACGCTGAGAAAGATTGCTATCAACCAAGTCAGGCAAAGTACCGGGTGTGCGCGGCATCATGAGCAGTGCCGGTATTTGATTTTCTCCTATGGTACAACTATCTGCGCTAGCCGCCAAGCGCTCACATAACCAAGCGCCCATACGCCGCCCGACAGCGCGTTCAGAAAAGCTCGCAGCACTACACAATGACAAGAAGCATCGCCACGCAGCTTCTTGCTCTGCCCACGCCAGACAGAAAGACTGCATCTTGCCTCTGATGCCCAAATCTGCAGTGGGCTCTACTCCGCGACGCTACAAGCCTATTGCTCAATTGCCAATGCGCTCATCGTGGTATTCGGGCGCTCGTCGCCATGATGACTGGAAATAGAACCGATTTGCACCCCCTCCTCATTATATGGCTGTGGACGAGTTGGTGCTTCTCCGGATGAAGAAGGCCTTGGCCATTTCGTATGCGGACCTATGTTGAATCAGATTACGCCCGACTTCATTGCTTGCACAGAAACTTACCAGCAGATGGCAGTGCTGGGCATGGTGGTGATGATTCGAGGCTTCAGTCCACGGAAATATCCTCGATATCCTTCTCTTTGGTGAATGATCTTTGCAGCGTGCAACAGACCCGAAACATTTTTCAATTCCACGTCCCTTGCGTTGCCCCGCGTTTGTAAAAGCGTCTTGATAACGTCCAGTGGTGTGGTAAGGCCTGCGGCAAATCCGCCCGCAACGCCGCCCGCGAAGCAATGGGTGTAGGGATCGTATCGGCCGGTAGGGTTCATGACCTTGGAGATGGATTCGTACGCCATGAATTGCAGGGCCGTGAATGGTACCGTCATGCATAGTGTTGTGGGGTAGGAGACGTAAAATGCGCCGATGCCCTCAGTGCGGAGCACCTCTCGGGCGCATTGAGGAACCGACTTGTATATCGAACCGTGCATTTGCATGCGTTGCTTGATGACTACGAGCTTTAGCAGGCGCGGGGCGCAGTCGAGATGCACTTCTTACCATCGAACGGATTCATCAATGCGTCGCTGGAAATGGTGGCTGCGGCACCGCTAGCAGCTGCGGACAGTTAGCAAGTGCCAGCTGGAGCCTTTGCACAGGCGGTGCTGTGTTGCGTACCTGCTGCAAGGGGATGGTGCTCGTGGCTCTCTCCCTCGTTTCCGCCGAGGGCATGCTTCGTGGCCTCATACGATGCAAAGTAAACGGCGTGGGCGGGACCTGCACCACTGTCAGCTGCGTCCAGCCGTGGTTTTGCGCGCTTCTATGCCCACCTGCACCCATGACTACGCTCGACAGTCCTCTCCATAATGACCAGAACCCCTCCGCTCTCGATATGGTGACCATGGCGTTCGATATGCCGCTGTACATTGCGCTTGGGGAGGGGTTGACGATCTGCATTCTGGTCTGCCGGCAGTCAGCGCATCGTCCGGAGACGGTGAGGCGTTTGAGGCGAAGCCGCGCACCTTGAGCAAATCCACTGGATACATCACTGAGTGTTCCTGTGGTCCAGTCAGCTGGGGGCGGGTACATGACGACGCCGGCCTGGAGCACGTACAGCGACGCCCGCGAATGCGCCCGCGAGCATATTCGCAGTGAGGGAGAAGTTGGGCGGCAGCGCTTCATAGCTGGGGCGCGAGTTAGCGTGTGGTGCTTGCCGTAGATGGCGCTGCAATGGAGGGCGTACTCGTGCTCTTCTTCCAGAGGAACTGCTGGCCGATCATTGGGGGCCATAAGACGGCCGGCTACAGGCGCCGCGGATTCCAGGGTTGCGACTGTGGTGGAAACTGCCTTGGGAGGACCCGTGATAGCTCCGTGGAGGTGCGGCGAGAGGGGCGCTGGCGGCGGGTGGATGGTCAATGGTTGGAAATTGAAGTTGTCACTTTTGTTTGCAACTAACGGAAGCGCGAGACAACTTCAGCCGAGCGCCGAGACGTCAGACCCGGCCTGGGGGGGGGCTTTACACTATCATCTGCCTGCCATCAACGTGCCCGCGCAATCAGTCGCTGCGATGCCGGAGCTTGATGCCCGCCGTCGACCTGCATCCCCGAGCCATTTGGCCGATAGCTTGCACCCCGTACAGGTCGCGACTTTTTTGCTCTCTTCCGGTGCTCGCCACCGGGCCGGCCGCCGCCCACTGCCACCAATGCATCAGCGGAGGCTTACAAGTGGCCGCGGAGACCCAGCACATGATGATGGCGAAAGCTTAAAGTTTGGGCGAAAGCCCGCTCGTCAGAGGAGGGGGGTTCGGCCGTGGGAGCTTGCCATATCTTATCAGATCATCTCCGCCCGCACCGGATGCCAGCCACGCCCTGTTTCCTGGATGCGACTTTGTAGCCGCACACAAGCCTCAGCTGTGAGGTGCAGCATGCCTTTTCTTGCCCCGCCGCAGGCCATGGTAGCGTGTGCATGCATTTGTTCCCAACATGCACGCTGATTAATGAGCGATCCCAGCACGGGCTAAAGCAGTAAAGGTCTCGCCTACCGCGGCTGACTAACTGCGACGGCTCAATCACCCCCTACATATACCATGATAAGCAAAGTATGAATCGCTCCATGGGCAGGTAACAGCAGATGAGGTGTTTTTCAAAGCTCGAAAAATGGGTATGCGAGGCGGACCAATTCACGCTTGTTCACGTGACGACGAATCCAAGAGGCCAGCCTTGTCATGAGAGCGTAGATGGGTTTTGATATTGTTGTTTGCGGCTACTGTAGCAAAGTTTGATAGAGCCTGGGTGCATCCATCTCTCAGTAGTCGTACTCGAAGTGGCCATCGCGCATCTCTATCGTACAACCGTCGACGGAGCGCACACGTACAATGGGCCCTCGGTCTCGAAGGGCTACAATCAGCAATAATCCCCTGTGTCCTGCATGGCACGTTACAGAGAGACATGCTCGTGAACATTCAACGACGCCGTGATCCGAGATACGCAAGGTCCTCCAATCTCGAGTGCACGTCAGCAGTCGCACCGCTTGTGCCACCGGGGAAAGCTGACTACATCCCTAATGTTGGGAACCCCGGCGAGGTAGCACAAAAGCCGATCAAAACCAAGGCCAAATCCGCCGTGCGGCACGCTGCCGTACCTCCGCAGATCGACATACCACTGCAACGAGCCATCTGATGCGTCGGTGGACCCGTCCGTGACATGTCCAAGGCCATGGTCGTCCATGGACTTGAGGAGATTGGGTAGCCTGTGCTCACGCATGGAGCCGCCGACCAGTTCACAGATCTCGGGTACGAGCAGGTCGAAGCATGCGACCGTCGGCGCTGCGCTGTCCTCAGGCGTGGCGTCAGTTGATGGCGCCATATAGAATGGCTTGATGTTACGCGGGTAGTCTGTGACAAAGACGGGTCCGCCATTCCCCAGGCTTTCAGCCAGGAAACGTTCGTGCTCGGTCTGCAGGCCGTTTTCATGGCCAGGTGCATACTCAAACGCCGCCTTGCCCTGAGCTACAGCGTCCTGGAGGTGCTGTACTGCAGCCTTGTAGGTGATTCTTGGCCACGACCCAGCGATTAGCCCCTGCCACCGTTGTGCAAGGGTAGCGTGGGACACAGATGCGCTGTCTTGGTCCTGGTCCCGTGCGCGTGCCTCGAGGAGCTCCTGACCTACGAGTGATGTGTGCAGCTCAGAAGCAACGGAGCGCAGCATGTCCTCTACCGTGTCCATGATGACACTGACGTTGTCTACAAAGGCCACTTCGGCCTCGAGCATGTAAAACTCACTAAGATGACGTGCCGTGTCACTCTTTTCGGCACGGAACGTCGGAGATAGGGTCCAAACTTTATTTACTGACTGGGCCAGCGCCTCCAGGTGCAGCTGGCTGGAGACGGTCAGGTACTTTGGAGCGCCAAAAAACAAGTCGTCCTGCTGCTTGGCCTGGGTGGAAGAGGGCGTGGCGGGTGCCGACGGTGCTTCGGGCGCCACGGTGAAGACTTGGCCCGCGCCTTCACAGTCAGAGGACGTGATGATTGGAGGGTGGCATTGGACGAAGTCATGTTTCGCAAAGTAGCTCGTCACCTGGGCCGTGACTAGGGACCGCAAGCGCAGCAGCAGCGCGTTGAAGGGCAGTCGACTGCGCAAGTGCGGAAGGGTGCGAAGAAACTCGGGCGTCTGGTACTTCTTCTGTATGGGATACGTCTGAGATATGGTCATGCAGATCAGACACTGGACACGGCCACGGCATGTCACGGCGACCGACTCACTGGAGCGTCGTTTTCTCCCAATATCCGCACCTGGTCCACCTGGAGTTCATGTGACTGTCCCTGGCCGGGCGAAGGCGTCCATTTCCCGGTGGCTGTTACAGCGACACCGGTTGAAAGTCTGCTGGTGCACCTGGTTAGCGCACGCACATGGGCGGGAGAAGAACCACTGACCCTTCTGCGAGCTGGGGAGGGAGGACAGCCTGCACCGTCTGCAGCGTCGAGCCGTCGCCGATGGCGGCAAAGGCAATGCGCTTCTGCTTGCGCACGGTGCGAACATAGCCGTTGACGGTCAGCGTGCCGCCGTGTGGAAAAGAGGGCTGCGGAGACGGGCGCAGCAGCTCAGCAATGGTGGCTGGGCGGAGGGTTGAAGAGCAGCGCAGGCGACATGGAGAGAGCACATGGGCCGTGGCAGAAGCGCTTCCCCGGTTTCGCGACCAGCACGGGGGGCGGACAGGACTGGGCTGGAGCAGGCGATTCCACCTCATTTACGCGGCGGTACTTGCAATTTGCCAGCAGGACGAGGGGGCCAAGGTCCACGGTGCCAGTGCCAGTGCCGTGTGTGTGTGTGCGTGCGTGCGCGCAAACAGCGGACGTTGTCTACGAAGTTTCGAAAACGGCAAATCGGCGCTCGGGCCCCCCCGCGCTAGCATCGTGGGAACCTCGCCGTTCTTTCGGGCTCGTCAATCTGCAATCGTACCTGTGACACTCGAGTCGCCGCTGAAACACTGGCCGCCCCAAGGTCGGACCATGTAACGGCTCGCGATGTGGCATCCACGGCCACGACGCATCGTCCTGGTGACAAGACAGCGACAGCGACATGTTCTGCACGCCTGGGCGCCGTCGCCCGCTGCCATTGGCTTAGTCACCTGTTTCTGCGCAGTGGCAGCGCCCCCCTCCCCCTCCCCCCTCCCCCTCCCCTCTTTCTCTCCCCCCCTCACCCCCCTAACCTGCTTACTCCAACGCCTACTCCAACGCCAACAACCGCACATGGCCTCCCTCCACGACTTGCCCGGGGCCACCGCCGATCGCCGCACCCGCCTCGCCAGGCACTTCTCAAACCCCCCTCACCGGCAAGGACCCGACATTGCGGCGGCTTGGTGTGTCGTCGGGGTCGCTGGTTTGACGTTTTGGTGGCACCTCGCTGGCGGTGAAAAGAGGCGGCCGCGTAGTACGGCAGGCATTCACCCGATGGGCCGTTGATTCGATCCAGAAGACTGTGTGCCCTGCAGCTGGATTCTGGTGCCGACGCTATTGCTGCGGCGCTATATCGTGCAGGATCTTGGTCACTACGTGCTAGCAAGCTGTCATCATCGGCTTGTCCAGCGCCGCCAGATCTTTCTAAGCCGCTTTCAACAATGTGCAGATCGCTTCGAGGCCTGAACGATCGATTCCGCCACGCATCCCTGCCTAACAGACCCCAGGAAAACCCGACACGGCACTTTGTGGCTTCAGGTGCCTGGCAGTGATGTGGGTTCACAGCATCGCCCCAGGACCAGGATTGGACTCGCAAACACACGTCGGCGCTGCTCCCGGGGCCCTCGAGCACTGGTCGTGTCCTTGATTGCCCTAGCACACGCATCATGTCTCCATCCTTCTGCAGCGCTGCGCCATAGCCTGCTCGTGTGAGAATGCCACTCGTTGCCAGCGCGGCACCCGCAGGGATCAGCTCGACTGACGCAGACGGCTATCGCTCCTGTAGCTGGCGCAGCAGAAATGCGCCAGTCTAGTGTCCGCCTCGATCTCGAGCTACGATCTAGCTGCATTATCACACGCGCCCGTGGGCTTTTGCTCAAGTGATATACTGTCCCGTTTGCCTGACGACGGGGGGCCCTTTTTCGTCACGGACCCTCGTCTTTTCTACCATCCTCTCCGCAGTGCCTGGCTGCACCCTCGTACCGCTGTTCCCACTGCCGCTGGCTACTTGTGCCTTTGTTTCAAGACACTGCAATCGAGGCCACGCCCTTTGTCGCCCTGCTGGCACACGTCACCACTGCCATACGTCATCGTCATGCCACAGTCAAGACCAAAGCCCTCGGAAATAGCTGCTGAAGCGAAACGGATATGGATGCCTCACATCTGGAAACACTACATTCGGGACTCGAAGACGTCTTACCTGTATCCAGACTCTGCACAAATACGAATCAATGTCGAGAAGCGATCATCACAACGGACGCGAGTGGCAGTCATGGAGGGCGACCCCGTCAACTACGCCCTGGGCTGGTACCAGAGCGCGCTCAGCGCCGACCCAAACTGCAAACGCATCCCAGTCATCAATGTAGCCAACGAGAAGCGGGCGGGCGGCGACTGGGAGTCTGGACTCATGGCACCAGAAGAGTGCCTCGCCCGAAGAAGCAACCTCGTTCATGCACTCACAATGCCCTGGAACGCGCAATTAGGCCGAGAGGAAAATTACTACCCCATTCCACAAAGAGGGGGAATATACTCGCCAGAAGTCTGTATGTTGAGATGCTAGCCGAGCCTGTCCGACGGCAACATGGACTAACGAGCCGCAGTCGTATTTCGAGCTGGACCCGACCAAGACTATGCGCCTTTTACAGACATCGCCTCCCTTCCCGTCATCTCGGTGGCACCAGTCCGACGCCCAAAACTCGACGAGAGTGGCTGCAAATACTCGTTTGCGCAGGAAAAAGAACTCATGAGGGAGAAGATGCGGGCAGTGCTCCGGATTGCCTCGTACTGTGGACACCGCAACTTGGTCTTGGGCGCTTTCGGCCTAGGCCCTATATTCCGCAACCCGGCACAGGAAGTGGCGCGCATGTGGAGACAGCTACTCTTTGAAGAGGAGGAGTTCCATGGCGCTTTCCAGGATATTGTATTTGCCATTGACAGTAGCATGGTTGGGTCCCCCAGTAAAGGTTGTCCGTCTGACGTGGACATTTTTAGGCGAGAGTTTGATCCCGCAACCATTTGGCCGACCAAGTGGTGAATAAGCTTGATCATGGCGACTTGGATTCTATTGCAACAAAGACTCATAGACATGGCTGGCGTATTGTTTTTTTCCTTTGCTGCTTGCAGAGTAGAGAGGAGAGGGGCACGGCACATGAATCACGCATCTCACACACGACTCGAAGTGCATCATGCACGCACACTTTCCAGAAGGCGGGAATCCCTCTGGGTAGGCGAGGACCCAAGGGGAGGGGTAAACGCAAGCACTTGACTCGTACACATGAAGTCATCAGATGGGGAGTGAGAGTGGGGTTCGCTGTATCTCGCCCCCCCCCCCTCGCAGATAACCGAGAAAAGAAAAAGCTCAGATCTCGGCGACCCGACAAGCAGACCAAAGTGGCGCGATGCTGCTTGATTGCTGCTCGATGCTGCGGCTAAAGCCTGCAAACGCTGTTTTACGTAGCCAATCAGTATCAATATAGAGTATTAGGTAAAACATAGTCGACTTATGGAATGAAGCCCAGTTTGTCATGCCGGTTCCCCTCATCTCTCCTCTTTCTCTCTGTTTGTGTGGGTGTGTGCTCTTTCTGTGCACGCGGGAAGCAAAAGCGGCACAGGGGGTGTTGGACTCCCCGGACCAGGACAATCAAGAAAGAAAAAAGGTCCTTGTTTGTCATATTCCTTTTTTCCAACTTCCCGGTTGTCGTTAGCCGGTGGCTGGTGGCTGACGGTGTGCTTACACGCTTATCGCCCCGACCGTTCAGCACACCGACACCACACAGCTTACATATCCTAGTTTTTAGTTTAGTTCCCCTCTTCCTGCAAACAGGCACTTCCCCCTTGTCTCTTTTTTTTAAAAAAAAATATACATACGCAATTCTGCTTGGTTAAGAAATAAATAAAAAAAAGAGGGGTAAAATTTTCCCCCGACCACAGACTTGTTTGGTTGTAAGTATGGTGCGTGGGTAGCATCTTTGAGGGAAAAAGGTCAAGGGGGAATTATGCAAGTGGAGGATTCCCTGGATGTGGGGGGGGGATTATATAGATTGGAGTGACATACATGTACATACACGCACACACAGAGAGACAGAGAAGTAAGGCAGGCATGTAAATTAAAAAAAAATTTAAAAAAAAGCCCCGTGTCTTGGCATAGTATGCTGGTTGTGGGGAGAGGAGAGGGAGGGGTTGTGTGTGTGTGTGTGTGGATTTTTTTTTTGCGGGGCTATGTACTTACACCTAGGTGTAGGTGTACACCGACTTACAATTTAAAAAGTTAACAACTTACACTTACGCTTACATTTACGCTTACATCTTAGCGTGGGCCAAGTACGAACAGAGAGACGTGGGATTGAGCGGGGGGGGGAGGGGAAGGGGGATGGGGTGAGACAGAGACGCACCACGCGACCGACGCGCCATACAGGCCCCTGCTGGAAGAGAGAGAGGGAAAAAAAAAATGGAGCGGAGGGTACTATATACGCACAGCACAGCACACACACTCGTGTTCTGAGCAATGTGGTAGGTGTGGGTATGCACATGTATGCCCGGGTTAGTGTGGAAGCTGCAAGCACAAGCACAAGTGGAGAAAAAGAGGAGTGCAGCAGCAGCAGTGGCAGTGTGGAGGAGGAGTGGAGGAGGAGTGGAGAGAGAGCGAACTAGGGCGTATAGTAAGTATCTCGGAATACACATGCCCCTATGTAGAGATTGCGTCCAAGGTGTGTAGTGTAAGCCCTGTTTTTTTTGTTTTTCTTGTATGCATGGGGCACGGCAAGGAAGTTGCAAGGCGGATGGGTTTAGGAAAATATAGTGACGACATTATGCGAGAGATGCGAGGGGGAGGGGGAGGGGCCCGCGGCGTGGTGGTGGGTGGTGGTGGTGCACCACCCTAGTCAGGGTTCTTGCTCCCTTCTAGCGAGGTTCTGTCCCCCCCTCTCCCTTCCCTTCCCCCGGGGCTGGGTTGTTTGCATCGGGAGACATGTCCGTTTGGGGGGGTGATGGCTTTTTTTTTTCGTTGACGGCCAAATGTGCAAGTGTCATGATCCAGAGGCTTTTTTTAGGGGCGTACAGACTGGACATGAGTAAGTGGTTGGTGGTAATGAGAATAGTTGTGGTGGTCTTTTCTTCTTTTCTTTTTCCTTGGTTTCGGCTTCTTTCTTTGCTTATTATGCAGGCAGAACTGTTTCTGATTAATCAGTGGCTGTTGGCTGTTTGCTATTTTGTCACAATGGGCTGGATGCGTATGTGTGTGCATGCATTGCGTGGGCGCTGCATGTGATGTGCATGGTGGTAGTGGTAGTGGGGGAATTTAAAGTGCCGACGCACATGCTGCACACATACATGCGTTACGTTGGTGGTGAACCACGGTACTGTCCCTTGAACCAACAGGGCAAGGGTATAAAACAGACCATTTTATCCGCCTTTGGGGTAGGCTAGACGACTCGTTCTGTTTGGTCCCGTTTTTTTCTTTTCTTTCCTTATTTCTGGTTCCGGCTTCCCACTTACACCACGTGCTGACTGACTCTGTTCTTCCCACATATACGAGCTTCGGCTGGGGGGGAATCGTATATTTTTTTTACTACTACTATATATTATACAAGGTCATGAGGGGCGTTAAAAACGAACAGCTGATCAGACTGACGTGCCAATCTTTCTGGAGAGCGCCGCAAATTACTTGTTCTGGCCCGGCAGTGGTAATTGGGGTGCCTGGATCTCGCCGCCCTGCATTTCAATCTTTTTGATTGTCTGTTCGCGTTGGTAGTTGACGACTCGTTGCTTCTTAAAGTACTCAACCTGGTTGGTGTTAGTATGGTTTTCTCCAACACCAATTTCCCGCCAATCTTGAAGATTGACTGGCGGCAACATGATGCCGACCGGAGGAATTACTCCACCAGACAACATGCCATGTGATGTGATCACCTGCGAGGAGGCCGTGTCGACTCACCCAGCTGTGTGCACAGTTTTTTTCAAACTCCTTGTCCAATTGCCCGCAGAAACTGGCGGCCTTGTCCCGCCCAGACTTTGTATTTATGCTGTCCAGAATGTTGTTCTTGTCGAGGCATTCGAAAAAGGCATCGCGTGCTGCGTAGCATTGCTTGCGGTTTGACCGTGAGGGAGACTCGAATGCGCCGCCCTCTGTCTTCTTAATGCCAGAGTCGTCCTTTGGACTTGAGCTAAACCAGCCCATGGCTGCGGAGTCTTAGGTTGCGGAGGGCGCTGAGGCGGAGGGGTAGCCCGGGGCGAAGGGAATTGGTGATTCCGAGTACGGGTAGGCGGCAGGCGTCGCGTACTCTGATACTACGTAGCGTGTAGTTCTCTGGCGGGCTTGCGAGCAGGGTGGCCGGCAATTGAATGTTGAAATTGAATGTTGAAAGCGCAGTGATCGCGAATTCGTGCTTGGCAAAAGTCCCGCGCTATGACATCGGCGCTGGCGCCTTAGGTTTCGCCGAAGCGTGGCTGCGAACCATCAGTGAACAGGTAACCTTGCCAACGACCATTACAACGTAGACTTGGAAACGCACCCCCTCCCTATGCTCCTATCATAGCGCATTGCTCGCGTTTTAATGCCACGCCGACGCCGCCTTCCTCGACCCGGCGCACTCGCGGATCTATCCCCTACCCGCATCCTCTCGCAGATTGTCCTCCTGCAACTCGCATACTATGCATGCGCCGGCGTCCTTATTCTGTTTACTGCGCTAGTGGCGGGCAAGGAGGTTAGCCTCGATCTCTTGTTCAACTGGCAGAGTCTGAGCGGTGACACGGCGGTTGGATGGACACTGGGGCTGGTTTGGGTGTTGAACAGCCTCACTTGGTAAGCGCTCCGACGCGTTGCTGGAAGCCGTGGATTGAGTCTAACACGTTGCAGTGCCATCTTCATATTGCTTCTTATCGCCCGCTCGAAGCTCGTCTTGGACTTTACCCTTACGGTACACTTTATTCACCTGGTAGTCACCTCCTTATACACGCATGCGATACCCGCGAACCTCTTCTGGTGGGCGCTCCAAATATGCAGCGCGACTATCATGACATCACTTGGAGTTTGGGCGTGTCAGTGGAGGGAACTGAGACCTATCAACTTTGGGAGCAAGACACCAGCGCGGGCGCAGCCGGTGGCAGAGGACGAGGAAGGGGGCGAGTCTAGGGGGAGAGGAAGGGGTAGAGGGAGAGATGGCGCAGGGGAATACGAAATGGTTGGCATGAACGAAGGCGACAACAGCGTCTGATGGGCCTCCATATTTTGCATACGAGGCGTTTGGGTTGGACGGAATTGGATATAGCGATTGGCATTCAAGTAAGCAGCATTTTAATATACCCGCCGAGATCATAGAACATTACACATTAGCATCTGCATGTTACATGTACCAGCCTACTAGACTTGCAGTCACAAGTCATCGGCATTTGTAACTTTGTATCCTTCTGCTCCCTAGAAACCATTTTGATGGAGTGTCTTTGATGCGAACAGTTCCGTCTTTGAGAGAGAACCAAGGTAGACCGGCTGGCGCTTGTTCCCCTTCATCATCGACGTCTGTTGTTATTTTGCATGTGATGCTGTCTAGCCGCTCCAGGGCAACGGAACGCCCTTGTCCAGTGGCCGCTGCCACAATCTTGATCGTGTCCAACTGCCTGGGCAAAACAAGGCCTAGCCGGGAGATCAGTGATTTGACGGGGCTACTCAGACTGTGGCAGCCCGGCCAAGAGGCATTGGGAAAAGGCCGAGTTGGCACCCCAAGCAACGCACCTGGGAGGATCCGTTTATGCAACGGTATTTGAGCCACTCGCTCCATTTTGCTTCCGCTTTCTGTATAGACCAACATCACATGGACAGTCTGTGAGTCCAATCCACTCGCTTTGTGTTGTGCAAGGAGAGGCTGCTGGGGTTCATGCTGCGGCATGCTGATAGCGACAGCGGCATAGGCGCAGAGAAGGCCGGCGAGAAGATGGGTCCCTAGCATGGCTGTGGTGTAGGGGATTGCGAGGCCGACTGTCTATGCCTTTGAGCGAGCTCTTTCTTGCAGATGCTGCGTGCAAAAGCCGGGTCGTGGCCATGGATATAAACGAAACGACCCCACCAGACGTACCCAGGGGCGTTGCCGAGGACCCGGGTTGCAGCATGTGGTTGTCCTTCGGTGTTGGGTCGAGGTAACTAGGGGGGGGCTAGGCTGTTGGCTGCAGGGCTGGCCAGGGCATCGTCGGGCTCTTTTCAATAGCCCGTTCCGAGCCAGCTGCTCGGCCAACTCGCCCTTGGGCCATCTACACTGCAAATGCGAGGCCGTATAGCCGCTGAGTGAGATTTCTAAAAACGGCCTCGTCGAGGCTGTGATGAACTACCTACACGATCCTCAGCGTATTCGTAAATATGCCAATCGGCGCGCTGGTGCAAGTAAGCCCGCACGCGAGCTTGCCTGCTCCGCCCGCTCTCGTTAGCGCGGCGCACGGACGCTAGCCTCTTAGGCCCAGCACAATCCCTGCCACTAAAGCTTTTTCTCACTTCTTTCCGACCCTCTCGACGTCACATGCAACTTTGATGCGCCACTCACAAACACCTACTAGTGCAGCCATGCCAGGTTAGAGCTCACAATGAACCCGGGCAACGGATACTACGGACAATGGCTGCCGGGGCATCCTGAGCACGATAGACGCTTCTTGCCCGAGGCAGGCTCCTTCGACGACGATGGCTCCAACTTGATGCGACCACATGCCCAACATGGCAGACAGCAGTATCCCGTACAGTCCCCGTACAATGAACCGATATATCCCCCTCAGCAAGTATACTCGCCGCCTCAGTTTCAGCCTCTTCAACTTCACCATCCACCCCCAGCCCGGGGTCCGTACATACCTCTCATTCCACTAGATGCCGTAGAGGACGTAGAAGAAGACGTGCCCTTGGCACCCTTCACCAGTGGTGCTTTCCATGATCCGTTCAACAGGGCGTATGCTACGAGTGGACCAGCCGTATTCGAGGGATTTATTCCAGCAAACCCTGAGCAGGAGGACGAAGATGCGTATACTGATGCTACTGGATTCAGCAACTCCATCTACGACCGCGAGTTTGAAAGCTCGGATGAGGACGATGATTATGAACGTATGATTGACGAAGAGAAAGAGCGAGAACGGCTCATCCAAATCGAGAACAGAGATGACTCGGAAGTCGACGCAGACTATTCGTCCGAAGATGCGCAGCAAGATGAGGGTGATCCCGACGAGATGGAGCTAGGCGTTGAGTTTGAGGATATGGAAGGGCGTATGAAGCAGAAGAGAGGGAGAGGCAGACGTACCACCAAAGATGCAACCATGGCTAATATCATTCCTGCGTCTAGGACCAGAGGTCAGCGCGGAGGAAAGCGAGGGCGCCCTTCAACGAGGGGCCGTGGCGGCCACAGCGGTGCTCGGTCTACCCGGGGTAGGAAACGCGGGAAACCCGGAAGAGAAAAAGGCCCCAGAGGTCCTCGCCCTGTCGCCGATCCAGGTGCAGAATGGAAGGCCCTGCAACAAAAAGCCAATGCCAAGTTTATCGAAAAGGACTACGAGGCTGCCCTTTCGTTTTCTCAACAGGCCATTCAACTCAACCCCGAGATCTTCGATGCTTACAACATCGCCTCTGAGATCTACACGGAAATGGGTCGCGAAGAGGACTCTATAGCCGTATTGTTAGCTGGTGCGCCAACGAAGCGTGATCCCGGCCTTTGGCAGTTCATCATCGAGCGCATTCAACAGTTGGACCCGGAGCAACACCCGCGGTTTACCGATGCGAACAAGTCGGCTGCTATACTTCCATGCTTGAACGAGATAATCCTGCTCAACGACGACTATGAAGCCCGCAGTCACAAGCTCGAGATTGAAGCACAGCTGGGACGCTCGTCAAAATGCGTATCCCTGGGTCTCAAGATGCTCAAGACGCGTAAAGAGCAAGGTGAGGACCCAGACACTAGTGTGCTGAAGATCATGGCAATGATGGGCACCGCATCCCCGAGGCAGACTAAGATACATCTCCACAAGCTCATCAATAGCTTTGAGGAGGCTATTGATGTTTTCACGCAACCCGGTCGCGATCCAGTCACGAATGAACTCGATTGGGAATTGATCAATATCTATCTCGATCTTTTAGACCGCGCGGGTAGTTATGCGATTGGCGTTACAAAACTCAAGTCGCTTTCGCGCTGGAAACAGGGGAGACGAACGGAGACGTTTTGGGATGAGCTTGATGACGACCGCGAGTTTGACATTGAAGATGGTCCAAGGCGTATTGCCGTTCCTGGCTTCGTACGGAGATCTCAAGACGCAAAGTACGGCTCAACACTACCTCTAGAGATCAGAGTCAAGCTTGGCTTGTTCCGGCTGCGCAGAAGCAAAGACGATTATGAAGAAGCTATGGTAAGCCCCACATAAGCTGAACGTGTACAGATCTGCTGACAGGAATAGCACCACCTCGAAATGTTAGAGCCGGACGACCACGGGCCAGATGCGCTGATGTGGGACTATGAAGATCTTTTCCGCATTATCGGCGACGCCCTACACGCCACGGGCCATGACAAGGATGCGCTGCGCTTCTACGAGCCACTTTTCAACAACAACTCAAAGGAATTCAATCTCATGAGCTATATTGGTTTGCACACTTGTTTCAAGAACGAGGGGCGCACCGAAAAGGTGGCAGAGATCATTCCCGTCTTGAAAAACTGGCCAGCAGAGAACTATGATGACCTTGCTATCCTCGCAAAGTTCTTCGAAGACCAAGGCATGTGGCAAGAAGCTGGACAGCGCGCAGAGACCATCTACCGTGACAAATATGGTCACAAACTCAAGGCTTTGGGTTTTCAGGCATACGATGAGCTGAGAGTATACTACTACAATCAGCGTCGGCAAGCCCGAGGCAGGTATGCTGTTCGGAAGAGTACCGTGCGAAGAAACAGGAAGAAAATGCAAAAGGCGACTGGACAAATCGGCGAAGACGATGATTCCTCGAATGAAAATAGGAACGAACTGCCGGCTCTTATCGCCCCTACTGAGCGGCCTAAGAAAGGTTTATTTCGAACTAAAAGGACCAAAGCGCCAAAAGTCGAGGCATTTCTCGATGTTCGGGACGAGGAGGCTGAGTCCATATCCGACATGGAGCCGAGACGGACTACCCTTGAGGGCACGGACGTGCCAATCCGGTCAATTACGAGCCGTCTATTTCGCAACAAGCTCCAAAAGCTGGCGACCGATTTTGCGGATGACCTGAAGGCTGCAAGGGCTCAGCATCGAGAAATTATTTCCAGCTTCAAAAGACTGGATGAGTTGTGGGAACCAGCCGAAGATGGAAACGAGGAGGCTATCAAGGAAGTCTTGTCCATCACACGAGAACTAATCGAGGAGTTTTCTACGTTTGATCTGTTCTACTCGAACAGAAAAGAAGACCTCATGACTTATTTCCGGCGCGTCACAGGGGGGGATCTTTGGAAAGAATCCGCACTCATGGTACTTGCTGTGGTAGCGAACAACGCCGAAGATGGTGAGACCGATCCTGAACTCCGAGAATGGCCCGACAAACCTCCAACCGATTTCTGGGGTATACATTTCGATAGATGGTGCGATGCATTTGGTCGTTACGCCACATTACTCGCAAACGAAGGTGATGAAGAGCAGTGTTTTGCTACACTCGACATTGCCCTCCAAGCCAATGTCTTTCACCGCTCGCAAACCTACCACCAACAGCTGCAGATATGTCGACTGGCCTGTGCTCTTGCGGCTGACAATTCGCTCCAAGCCTCTGTAGCAGCCCGCTGGCTTCTCAAAGAGTATCCCTTTGGTACTGACCTCTTCCGTATCTACAGTGCCGTCAATCGCCTATGTTCCTTCCCCGAGGGTTTTGCGACGGGCCCCGCGTACAAAGTCCTTATGCGCTACATAAAAACCGTCGACTATGCACTTCTCACTCCTGAGCAGCGCATTGCATACAACTTCCGGGATACCAGAGAGACCAAAGGCGGCTTCAGAAACAACATCAACGTCGAAGATGTAGGCCAAGTCAAAGACCATGACCCGGCTCTTTTTGCACTATACGCACATGTCTTGATGTGCGGTGGAAGCTACATGGCCGCACTAAACTACTACTTTCGCGCATTCGCCATCACACCCGAGGATCCAGTGCTCAATTTGAGCATAGGCGTGGCGTACATCCAGCACGCCATGAAACGCCTCTCAGAGAACAGACAGTATCAAATCCAACAAGGTTTGTCGTTCGTTTACAGATACTACGATCTGCGCACCAAAAGCCCACACGCTATCCATCGCCAAGAAGCCGAGTTTAACGTAGGCCGTATGTGGCATAGCCTGGGTCTTGTTGCGCTAGCGCTTCCGGCTTACGAGAGATGTGCTGCGCTCAGGGAGCAGGTGAAGCAGGAACTGCAGGATCAGTGTCAATATGGGAATTGGGGACATGAGGATTTCAGCACCGACGCCGCGTTTGCAATGCAGAGCATCTACGCCATCAGTGGGAATTTCGAGGGCGCCCTCGATGTCACACAGCGGCTGCTGGTTATTGAGTAGATGGCAGCGGTTGCTGGCATGGTCAGCGATGGAAATGTACATGGCATAGCGTAACCCATCATAACTAATCTCAGATAGACATCACACTTTACACTACCAAAGTTCCACCAACTAAATTACTTTATACCACTGCTATCCAGGTTTCGCTGTACTACTCGTATTAGAAAATTTCCCCTCAGAATCCCTTCCCTCATTGTATTATTTTCTTCATAAACACACCAGCCTGATCAAGGAATGTAACGCGAAATGCATACATACATACATCGATCACAAAAAGGGGTGTGCGTTCCCCCCCCGCTTTTCTTTTTCCCTCAGCCCATACATGCCCACCCAACAAGGCGCGTGTACAAAGGGGGGTGATCTCTCTCGTATTTGGTACTGTGCATGCGTACGTACCTACCCACGCACGCGGCACCCCTCATTACCCATATTCTTACCTTTTTTTTCTCCGAGTGCTTTCGACATGGCTGACGCAGCGCAGCGGCTTTCATAACCGCAGTATATATATATATGTACATCGTATGTGTCATTGCTGTGTATTTAGAACACGGGTTTTCCATACAATACAATACAATACAATACAATACAAAAGTAACCCAGAAAAAAAGAGAGAAAAAAAGAGAACATGATATGAATGCTTCAAATCCATATAACGTATGTGGCAAGCGAGCGCCGCAGGTAAGCGAGCGCCGCACCCCACCAAACCTGCGCACCTCTCCTATCTCAACGAACAATAGCTCAACGTAGCGCTACTCAATTAGCTTTAAATAAAGCAGATATTCAGCTTGCTATTTCTTCTATTAATCTCTATTAAACACAAAGTAATCGTCGCGCTGCTGCTGTCTACAACGTGTCTGAACGAACAATCCGCCGCCGACGCGCTGGTATACCTGCTCGACGCGATTGCCAG